ATTAATATAATTTAATTAATATAATTAATATAAATAATATAAATTAATATAAATTAAGCAGCCTTAAGAAAATGTATATAGGTTGTTCATGCTAATATTTATGTTTGACCAAAGAGCTTTAAATTATACATATCTTTTAATAAGCAAAACAGTGAAATCTTATCTTGACATTGGTTTACAGTGTGATACACTGATATGGGAAGAAGTACATATTTTTAAAAGCGTCATTAGTCTGCTTTTAGAATATATAAAGAGAAATTACTAAACCATAGTAATAACATCTTTACCACCATTAAATTTTATTCTATATTGACAATTTGAAGTACTAATGAATGGGGTAGGTAAATTTAATACAGAATACTACATTTAAGGAGTACTTCTAAAAAGCAATTTCACTGCAGTTATACTTTTCCTCTGGATTAGACTTTTGTCCCCATTTAGTATATGTTCCTCTCCAATTTCTGTGGCTTTCTGAAGCTAACAAATGGAACTCAGCTGGCCTGTATCTGGGAACAATGAGTGATGATTTGGATTCTTTCATATATTTAGAAAGAGACTGAGCACAGGAAAAATAGTCCTGTCCGGAAGTAGGCATGGTGTTCTCTCCAAACCAACAGCAGGAAAATGAGAAACCAGTTCTCAAAAGTTATTTTTCAAAGCAGTCTACTTAACAACTACAAAACTGATAGACTAGTGGTTGGATTATGTCATCAGGCCATATTTTAGAGCAATATTGTCACACAGAGGAATAATAAAGCGTGGTATTGTGGTATTTGTGTGCTCTGTATCTCCATGCAAATACAGCTATACCTCAGTGAATTATGTCATGACAAAGTCACTAAACATGGGAGATTCTATTGATAGGCTTTTAAAATATATTTTACAGTTCAATCGTTCATATTTTCAAAGAGCTAAACTGTGTAGAGTTATGACAGCATTGACCTTTTTATATAAAAATCCTTTAACCACAAAATTCTTTAATTTTTTTAACTGTTAATACTTTAGTATCGATTTTCCTTCCTTTGGTTTAAACTCAGAGATTCACTGAGAATTGATGTTTTCCAGCAAAATTAGTATTTTTTAGCTCTCAGACATACTGGATGGAAGATGCTACAGTCTAAAATTAGAAAATTTTTTCTCACTCACCTTTTCTCAGTATGATTATATGAAAAACCATAAAAGAAGAGAACTATAGGAAATTAAAATCTGTCCATTTCACATTTGACCCAACATAAACTGTTTTCATTTATATCTTCAGATATAAATGAACCTTGCCCATAAATATAAAATAAATCTTAAATCTTAGATCATGGGTCAATTTATAACAATTATTTTCCCAATATGAAAACAGAAGTATTCTGCTGAAATTTATAGCTGTATTTCTGTTTTTATTTATTAAACACAAACCAAAAGAAAAAAAAGATTGTCAATAATGCCACCACTCAACTGTAATGAGGAGTACATCTTCTCAGAATATCTTTGATAACTGTGTTTTCATTATTTTGTTTTGTTTTGTTTTGCTTTGTTTTCAGAAAGAGGGCCTATTAGAATTAAAAGACTCAAAGTTCTAGAATCAAACATACCTGCGTTCGAATTTTGACTTATTGTTTGACTTAGTCTCTTACTGTAGGCTTTAGTTTTCTCATTTTTAAAACTGATGAGTTGATTTTACTTCCTGAGGTTATTGTGAGAATTAAATCTCACCTTTACTTCATTGCTGGGTATACAGAAAACACTCATTAGAATGTTAGCTGTTAAATTTATTGAGTATATATTACCACAGCTGTTATATTTGCTTTAAATCCATGTATTATATTTAAAAGACATTTTGTAAAAACCGTCATTTTTGAATGCTATATGCAAATTTAGAATTACTAGAAACTAGAACCTCATGCATCTTGTCTTCATATTCATATTCTGTAAGCAGCATTAATGTACACCAAGACTTATAGTTTATATATATTCTAATTACTTTCTCTGCAGCCCCAAGTGCCCCTCCCCAGTCTGTCACTGTGCTGACAGTTGGAAGCCACAATAGCACAAGTATTAGTGTTTCCTGGGATCCTCCTCCTCCAGATCATCAGAATGGGATTATCCAAGAATACAAGGTAGGACCTGAGTAAAGAAGGAAAGTTGACAAAGATTCCTGAAGAAGTCTCAGTGTCACGTGGGTGAGGCACATCTCTAGTGTCCCTCTTATGGAGTTTGCGTATAAATTAATTTTTTTTATATCTTTGGGTGACAGGTAAAAAGAAACAAATGCATAGGGGATTAGAACCTAACTCCATGGTCACAGATAACACAAACTCAGTTGCACAAGAAAACCATAACGGTGGAGTATTTTTCGTTATTAAATTTCCATGTAACAGGTTTTATGGCAGTGTTTTCAAACTGTGTTCTCAGAAAAAGATGATCAGGGGTTTAGAGAGTTGGAGTGTGAATAGAAGAGCGGGCAGCACCAACTTCCATTCTAAGTTCTGCTTTTATAAATTTATTGAGATTTTGTAAAATATTCCACTTGAAAAAAAGGAACCATTGGAAAAACATGTTTTGAAAAAACTGACTTACAAAAAATGGTTGATTATCTCATTTTTCAATTGAACTTGTTACTATTTAGAAACAGTATATATTCGTTGTTTTATTCACTATCATTTGATGTTTAAGAAGCAAATGTCTAACTGAGAAATAAGATCTGATTAAGTGATCTAATTAGACCACATGTGAGAGTAAAAACCTCATTAAATCTTATAAAAATTTTAAAACTATGATTTTTTGCTGTTAATAAATATTTATAGAATTTTGACAATAACATGCTAGATCTATTAGAATAGAAAACTAGACATCCTACTTCTCCCCAGAAACTAATAGCTGATATGTGAAATTAAGCTGAATAATTTTACTCAAAACATTGCAGATTGAATTCGTTATTTCTAAGAAAAAATAATAAATTCAAAATATAATATTCTTAAGTGAATGGTTAACTTACTGAAGCAAATGAGCATAATGTGCATAAGCATTTAAAATAAATCCCATCACATTATAAAGATGCGTGCATAAGAAATATAAAAGTAAGTGCTTTTGCAATAGTTTAATTATGTAGATTCTAAAGTTTTACAAGTCTTAGAACACATTGTTTTAAGAACAAAGAATAATCTGCTGTGGTGTGTGTGTGTGTTAATAATGTTAGGCTTTTACCTTTGTAGCATTTGGGACTAAATATCTTAAACCTCCATTTACTTAAAAATTAAGTTTTTTGACAACATGATAATTTGTATTATAACTTATAAACTTTCCCATTCATGTGAGATTTTTCTCTTTTGGTAACAAAATATATATTTTGGTAAGGGCTTAATATTCCTCCATTAGTAACACAGGCATCCTAATGTAAATAAAAGTATACAATTTACAGGAATAATTTTAAAGAAAACATGTCAGGGACATACCTGTTTCAGAAACAAGCACTGTGTACATCTACTTTTGTGTCTACATGTAGATCATAAAATACTACATAATATGAATACAAATATGTATACATAAGTAAAATTCTTTTTATAACACATTTTATAGTAACAGATTTTCATATCCTGGAAGAAGCATGACAAAATTTGATTCTTACTTGAAGTAAAAGCCCAGATTTCCTCACAACAGTGTTTAAAGACTTTCTACCACTTTTTTCTCATTCATGTGTATGTGTGTATAGATATGTTTCGATCAATATTAAGATTTATTACAGTCAATGTAAATATTCATTTTAATTTCATTTTAGTCAATACCTATAACTTAAGTCAATTATTTGTATTAACTACTTCTGTGTAAATTTAATATTTTCTTAAATGAAGTATAAATTACATAGATGTACACCTATGTACTTTGAATGTTACAACTCATAATCGCCATATTTTTAATAGATTATATGCATAACAAATCTTGGTAAGTAAATTAAGATGAGGAATTTATGTGTTTTAATCCATGTGCTAATGCTGTTTTCAACCAAGGACCACTTCCCAAAGGTGTTAAGGGAATTATTGTGTTATGAGCATTCAATGTTGATTGTCAGATATGAAGGACATGTCATATCTAGCTTTCCTTATTTTTCTTCCTTTTATACACACACGCACACATATAAACAGTAAAGATTAGGCTTTAGAAAATATAATTTATAAATACCTCTATAAGGCTCAGAAATAGATTGGTCACTACTAAAAAAATATATTTACTCCATTGATCTAATTACCAGAAAAGATAATTTTATCTTCTTTTGTTATTCACTTTACATTTCTGTAGATCTGGTGTCTGGGGAATGAAACGCGATTTCATATCAACAAAACTGTGGATGCAGCCATTCGGTCTGTAATAATTAGTGGATTATTCCCAGGTGTTCAATACCGGGTAGAGGTTGCAGCTAGTACCAGTGCAGGGGTTGGAGTAAAAAGTGAACCACAACCAATAATAATTGGTAAGTACCATCTATATGGTCTGTGTTTCAGAATGAATCAACAGATAACAAGGTAGATTATTTTTTGCATTGACATTCTAACAGTGGATATGCAGTAATGAGTAATAGGGTGTAAACATCATATAGTCAAATGGGTTAGTTGTCTAGTTTCTTACGGAAATGTTTCTTACAGAAATGATTAACAATTATTCATGCTCTTAAAACTCCCAGAAACTTCTTAAAATTATAATTACTAAGAGTTTAGCTGCTGAAAGTTTGTTTGAAAATTATTTCTAATCAATGGTTTTATTAGTAATTTTGACACTATTGAAACATGATAGGACATTAGGCAATTACTGGAGGAAGAGCATGTTTCAAATCTATATGTTTTCTCTTGGCCAGAAAAATGTCAAAATTTAACCAGAAACAGGCCAAATGAAACTTTGTAATTCAAATATACTACCCCAAAGGAAAAAAATCCCTATTAAAATTTACTATCATCATTTCAGAAAATTGTTCCCTATCACCATGCATTATGTTTGCCCATTCTTGAAATATGTATAAATGGAATTATACAGAATACAATATTTTGTGTCTGGCTTCTTTCACTATACATAATGTTTTTGAAATACACCCATGTATATATTATGCAATTCATATATTTTGTTTCTGAGCACTGTTTGTGTGAATATGTTATATTTTGTTTCTCTGCTTTTCTCTTCATGGAATGAACATTCTTGTATAATTTTTTTTTGAGTACATATGTTTTTATTTCTTTTGGAGAACTATCCAAAAATGAAATTTCTGGGCGATAATGATGTACATTGAATTTATAAGAGATTTAAAAACAGTTTTTTTCAAATTATTGTATACTTTTATACTCTCACTAGCAAAGAATATGACTTCTCACATTTCAACGTTGTCACCAAAATTCGATGCCATCAGCCTGTAATTTTAGCCATTCTAATGAGTGTAAAAGAATACATTTCAGTTTCCTTTGATGTCTAATGATGTTGAGTAGGTTTTCATACGCTTTTTGGCCATTCACATATTTTTTTCTATAAAATTTCAAGTCTTCAATTTTTTAAAAGTGTGTTGTTTGTCTCCTGTGACTGATTAGGAGGAGTTACATATTCATTCAAGATACAAATTTTGTCATATGTTTGTGTTTCAAATAGTTCGCTCCTAGTCTATGACTTCTTTATTCATTTTCTTAATAGTATCTTTTGATGAACAAATGTTTTAAAATTTTGTACATTATAATTTATCAAATTTTTCTTTCATGTTTAGTGCTTTCTAAGAATTGTGCTCTACCTCGAGAATGAAGATATTTTCTTATATTTTCTTCTAGAAGCTTTATAATTTTAGCTTTTATGTTTAGGTCTATAATTCATCTTCAAGTAATTGCATGTGGTTTAAAGGTTGAAACACATTTACTTCCAAATATATATCAAATTGTGCAGACATCATTAATGGAAAAACTTTCCTTTCTCCGGTGAATAATTTATGTGGCTCCATTCCTGGATTCCCTATGTTGTTTCATTTGTTTATATGTCTATCCATGTGCCAAACCACTACTTTGGTTACTATAGCTCATGAAATCAGGTTAATGTGAATACTCCATTATTTTCTTCTGCAGAATTGTTTTGGCTATCCCAGATCTGCTTTTCTATATGCTTTTCAAATCATTTTGTCAGTTTCTAAAAAAAAAAAAAATATTTTGGAATTGTTGATTGAAAATGCAGTAAATTTATACATCAAATTGGAGAGACTAAACATTTTAATAGTGAGGCTTTCTGTCTAAAAACATGACGTACATCTCCATTATTACTTTTATTTTTTCTCAATAATATTTTGTAGTTTTCAGGGTATGCTCTTTCATATGTTGTGTTAAACTTTTTTCTGAGTATTTCATTTTTTACACTTTTTTCACGTTAATGTTAAATTTTTTCCTGAATATTTTATTTTTAAGTGGATTCATAAATTTTTTTAACTATTCTATTTAATTTTATATATTGCTCTCATCTTATGACCTTACTAATTTCACTCATTTATTGTAATAGTTATGAGATACTTTTTCTGGGTGCATTCAGATAATCATCTGTTTTCTCTCTCCTTGTTTGCATTAATATAGTAAATTCTATTGAATGATTTCAAAGGTAAATAATGTTTTCATTCCTGGAATAAATCCCATTTGGTCAGGACATATTATGGGTTTTACAGATATTAGTGGATCTGGTTTGATAACATTTGATAAAGAATTTTGTATTTATGTTCATGAAGAATATTGATTGACAGTTTCCTTTTTTTCTAATGTCTTTTGTCAGGTTTTGTAATCAGAGTGGCTAGCTTTGTAAAATAGATTGAGAAATATTCTTTTCTCCTCTATATTCTGTAAGAGTTTTTTCAGGTCTTATATTCTTCTTAAAATACATTTCTCATTATCTAAGTTGTTAAATTTATTAGCATATGATTATTTGCAATATCTACTTGTTTGTAATCTTAAATGTAATGTGTGCAAGATCTGTTATAATGGCACTTCTTTTATTCTTACATACCAAAGATTTATGTTATTTCTTTTTCTCTCTTCTTTTTCATGCCTCTACCCTTTCCCTCTTCCTTCTCTCTCCAATATTAATCAGTCTTGATAAGAAGTTATCAATTTTATTTATCTTTTCAAAGTAAAAAACTTTGGTGTTGTTAGTTTTATTTTATTTCTAATTAATCAGTTTCTGTTATTTTTTTCTTCTATTTACTTTTATGTTGCTTCTTAAGATAGAAATATATCTATAATTTGGACCTATCTCCTTTTAAATATGAACACTTAAAGTGATAAATTTTCTTTTAAGCATTTTTTTCAGCTAAATGTTATAACTTTAGATCTTTTATTATGCTATTTAATGACTTTTATTTAATAATTTTAACATAACTTTTAATGTGTTTTGTTTTTATATCATTATAAATACTTTCCACTTTCCCTAAAGATTTGGTTTTTTTGCAGAGGTTATTTAGAAGTATATTATTAAATTTCCTGATGTTTTGGGATTTTCCAGATAGCTTTTTGTTACTGACTTCTAATTTAAATGTACAGAGATCAGAGAATGTATTTTGTATGAATTTAGTCTTTTAAATATAGAGATTTATTTTAATATTCCAGCATTTGTTCTTAATGAACGTTTGTTGTGCATTTGAAAAGTATGTGAATTTTTCTGTTTTAGAGTAGAATGTTCTATAAATGTTAGGTCAAATTAGTTGGTAGTTTTATTAGTTTTATTAAGGCCCCTACTGATATTCTGTCTATTCTTTCAATTAATAAAAAATAGTTTGGAAAGGTATTATAATTACAAGTTTGTGCATTCCTCCTTTCTATCTATAAGTTTGTTTTTATTTTCTTTATTTTGCTACTCTTCTTTATATGAGTACATTTTAGGATTGACATAAGTTCTTAACTGAACTTATCTTTATAATTAGGAAATGCCTTACCTAATTTCCTAGTAAAATTCTCCAGCAAAATTTTTGTCCTAAGATTTGCTTTATCTGATATTAGTATAACCATATTGTCTTATAACTTGGTTTGTGCTTTTTCTATCTTTTTCTTTTAACTCTTGTCTATATTTGATGTATACTTCTATTTTTTAACTATATATTGTTCGGTCTTGCTTTTTTATCCTATATGACAATTTTTTCCCTTTAATTGCAGTATTAGGACTATTATCCTTAATACAATTCACTTGATGGGTTTGGGCTTAAAATTAGTATCTTGCTAATTATTTTTATCTAACTTTGTTCCTATTTTCCTATTTCCTGAATTCTTTCAGATAAATTTAAAAACTTTCTGTATTATATTTTACATTCATGATTAGATTGTTATGATTAGATTGTTAAGTACATTTTTTTTTGTAATGGTTACTCTAGAATTTGCCTATAATAAAAAGATCTTAGAAAATATAATTACATTTTCCTTCCTCTCAATCTTCCTACTACTGTTATATTTCTTTTACTTCTATACATGTAATAAATGCCACAAATTAAATACACAAACTAAAGTATTATTATTGGTTTTGCTTTAAATTGTCTCCAGATAAAAAGCTATGAAAATTGTAGCATTCCCCTTGTTTTTTCCCTTTCTCATAATCCTGCTCTTTTGTTTCACATATTTTACCTAGTTTTCTACTTGTTTATGGTGAGATTGTATGTCCTACACTTGTTATTTTTTCATGGGCAGAAGAGGAAATATCAAGTGAATTATTCATTTCATATGATACAATTTTCTTTCCAGAATTTCTATTTATCTTTTACATTTTACATTTTCCTCTAAAATTTTTAATATAGTCAATTATTTTGACTATTAATTATAATTCATGAACATATTATAATAGCTGTTTTAAAGTCCTTTTTTCCTAATATCACCATCTGTGTCATCTAATAGTCTATTTCTATTGATTACTTTTTCTCTCGACCTTGTATCATATTTTCTTAGTATTTCATTGTTGTTCATTTTCCAGACCAAGTAAATTTTTTTTAATGTATACTGAACACTGCAGATGACATACTATAAAATTTTGTGAACTTCTGAAGAGTGTTGAATTTGTTCTAGAGACAGTTTCATTATTGACTAATCATCTTGATCTTATGCTGGCTTATCTTTTCTTTTGTTAATATGGAGCTATTTATTTTTTGACTTCATTCTTAGCACAAATTTTCAGTTTGATATTTACTTCTAATGCACAGCCCTCTTGAGATTTCAGTGAAAAGCCTAATATGTTTATCTAGCTCCCTTAACTTGTTGAAAATTAAACTTCAAACACAATCTTGCTGTAGTAGGCAACAGCTGAAAAAGGCTATTCAGACTTTCAATCTTCTAGATTTTGTTTTTTACCAGATCCTTGGAATCATCCTGCATGCACAGTTTAGAGTTTATGCTAAGATTATTGGAGGTGGGGAGTGTGAGTTTTATACAGGTAAAGGAATATCACTCTCCTGTGGCCCCCTCTTTCACATGGTTCCTTCTTTAATTTTCAGTCACTCCGACAACTCTGAACCCTATCCTCTGACTTATCACATCGATAAGATTGAGGTTTTCAGCTTGGATTCTAGCTGCCTATCACTGCATGGATTGAAATCTCTAAGGGAGAAAAAGAGCCTCACATGGCAGTCTTCCCCTATTGTTTTCTTCTTTCAAGAGGCAAAATCTTTAGTTCTCCCTACTTTATTTGTTTGTCAACGTCTTTAACTTTTTAAAAATATTATTCTTAGAATTTATATGTTTTAAAAACGCTTATTGAGTTTGATACAAATGAACATGCCATTTTTTGAATTTATGTATTTTAAAAACACTTACTGAGTTTGATACAAATGAATATGCCATTTGTTGTTTTCTGTTCATTTTTTGAAATGATGTATACAAAACATACTGCCACTTTTTGAAACTTTGTTTCCAATTAAAAATATAATGTATGAAAAGATTTAATATTCAGTCATAATGGTAATTTTTTAAAATTCTCCAAGTTTTCTTTCTTTTATATATTAAAAGCATTAAAGAGAAAAAGTTAGAGCATTAACTTTCCTCTAAATTGCCTTTCCCTTCTTAATTAGTCATACAGACCGAATTAATTTCTTAACCTCAGGGAAACCTATAATCTTGCCCTTTTGAGAGTTTCTAAAATAAATTGGAATAAGAAAGAAATACAGGTACACCCAAAAGGATTTAACTAACATATATGTATGTGTGTGTGTATATTATTTATAATATTTAGGAATAAGCCATTCACTTTTAATTTAAAAAAACTATATATGAAACATGTTTAAAAGGCATAGTTTTCTATAAGAGCTCTTGGATAAGTAAAGTTTTGTTTTTCACTATCTCTCTAGCACATATATAAAATAGATTGATCAAATATATATTTTTAATTCAAAGCTAAGTAAGACCGCTAAATATTTATATTCTCCTTTCATATTGTTTATACTATTGAATAATACATATAATTCTCAAGCATAGGAAAGTTTCATTGTTATTATTGTTGTTCTGTAGTGACTACCTATTTGTTTCATCATATTTTAGGTATTTATTACACTGAGAGGCAAGTAAATAATTGCAGGAGTACCATTTCACCAAGCTCATGTCATAACAGTTAAAAACTAAACAATTGTGTAGTAACAAAAGATAAAGAAATTTATATTATTTTAAATCAAATAGAAAATTTTGCTTAACTCTTGTGTTCTTTTAAAAAGACTGTTTTCAAATGAATAAGAGTAGTATTTAATTTATAGTTTAGTGTATCATACAACTTTTTTCAACTCTTTTAATGAAATAAAAAATAATCTAATAAATTATATTCTTATCTCCTATTCAAGTGGTTAGAATATGCAATAACCAAGTTGTAAACAGAAGATAGAATATTGTACCACTTGAAATACACACACACAAACACACACACACACACACAAGCATGGTTCAACCAGGAAAAGGCTATTTGTCCTCAAGAGATTTATTACTTTTTAATATCTACTATTGTACTAAAGGAACCCTTAATTGTTTCTTTAATTACCCCTGCATATCTACCTTAAGATCTTGTCTGATAACCTTATCTACACAACTGTTATTCCTTAGTTAAAAAGTGATTTAGTGATGCCTTACGTCCTTTTCTGTTTCAATTTATGTTTTCCCTATTGTCTATTCAGTACTGGAAACAGCACTTGAAGTGACTCAAGCTCTATCTAATTTCCCCTTTGCTTTAATTAAATCATGTATTGGCATTTGATGTAATTTACAGCTGATAATTTTAAATTTGTCTTATGCCAGACTATGTACTGTTTCATCTATTCTTTCTCTGTTTAGATTTCATTCCAGAAAGTTCCATTAAGAGACCATTAGTTAGACCATTAATAAACAGCCTTACATGGACTTAAAAGTAATATTGTTCTTTTGTCTGTAGTTTCCACTGGTAAGACGACTTATACATCAAGGTATCTGTAGTTCTGCTGGTTACATTTACAGACACACAAATGCAACCAAATGCATTTACATATATAAACATCACACAGAATGTCATTATAACAAATTTACATTGACAAATTTGTTTAGTACTCTTGCTAAATAATATAGCTATTGTTTCTTTAATCATTTGGCCATTTCACACTTACCTTATATAATTGATAATAATATGTGAAACAGCTGCAAACTTTCACAATAATAGGTACAATTGAATCTGGTGCGTCTAATTAATTTCTATTCCAACAAATTAGTTTTGTTCTTCATTACTCTCCAATGGGAGGAAAACATTATATTTCATTATATTTTTGTCTGCAAGAACAATGCAGCATTACAGGTCACACGCATTCCTTGTCTATTCTCTAATTAATCCAACCAACAACATTGTTTCAAAAATACCAGCGGCATAAAAAATAGTAATATGCCTTGGGTAATATAAATATTGCACTATATTAAATATTACATTTTATGGACCTTTTACAAAAATGAAAGAGAAATTTTCTCATATTGAAAATATGAGCTTATTTTAATTACATTTTCTCTATGTTTATATAATAATAATCAAGGGCAGATAGATTGAGAATATGAGCCATGTTTACTCCATAAGTTAATTTAGGTTTTAAATCTAGAATTTAACACAAAGGACACTTCAGAAATAAAATATAAGTATGTATGAGAAAATACTAGCAGTTATAATAAATAAGCTTGGATTCAGATTGAATTAATAAAATAAAAGGTTTTTTTTTTTCTTTCTTATTTATAACCCAGTTATAATAAGGGTTAACAGAATGGAGAATAGTGTTTCTACTCCTTACAGTTATTTAGGTAACTTTGATACTTTCAATCAATGGCTCTAACATCTATTAAGGGTTCAGCATCCTCCAAGTTCTGGCACAGCAGTATATGGATCATATCTGGAAGGAGTACACATCACTTGTGACTATGCATCATTGGTCAATACCCAATCACTTTGTTGCACTCAACTATAAGTGAGTCTGGGAAACATAAGCTAATTTTCTGCCCTGGAAAAAAAGAGAAAGTGTGGTAAACAAGTAACTTATGGTTTGCAGGACTTTCACATCTAGACAATTCACAACTTACACCCCTGAAGTTATCTGAGCATCTCTTAAAGTAACCCTTAGCCTTAAATTGACCATAATTTTGAGTCACAAGTTACTATGTTCCTATTAACTTCTTTGCATACATCATCTCAAACGATCCTCTCAAATATATGAAATATACAATACTATTGATAATTAAGAGAAACAGGTACTCAAAAAGATTAATTGCCTTATGTAAGCTTTTTGTTTACTTAGCTAGCAAGTGGCAAAAATAGTATTAAAATGTGAAACTTCAAAGTCCATGCTCTTTCTAATACATTTCAGTGCCATAATCATTAAAATAATTAAAATCACATATTCTTTTAATGAAATATACTGAGATTTGCTATTTATATTTTGATTACAATTTATTTTTAAATAGTCTTAAATCAGTCATCACTGAGATATAATTTTGACATCAAATGTCATTTAATTCTTAGTTTCTAAATTTATTAATCTGTTAAATAAGCACTTAAATCATTGCTCTTCAGTGATATTATGATTCCAAAAGTTTTAAGACTATTTAAAAATGTGGATTAAGACTTTCCTAATTATCCCCGAGATGTCAAAATTATCAAAAATATGACTACTTCTGAATAATCTTAGTCCTGGCTTAAATGTTTGTTTTAATTATTTAGACCTTAGAATTAATTTTAAAGTTGTCTTTTGAATTCAACTTTCAAGTGGATGTTCAAATTAATTTCAAATACTTTAAGAGAACATATGAATTTTATCTTTCCATGACATTTTAATGACAGATAGTAATTTTTATGAAGGATATTTTCATAATTTCATTGTCTTATACAGCACTTTTAGCACATTCCAGAAAATTCAAAACATGATTGATCAAAATAACTTTCTTGCCACAATAGTAAGGACAGTATCAAGCTACATAAATTTTTGAATTATGAACATTTGAATTCGGGCAGTGCTATAGAAAAAACAATTTGCAAATACCTTGAGATGAATGTTGCAGTTGCTTTTTTTTTCTTTTAACAAGACTGTATTAAAACATTCTTTACCTAACTGGAGAAAAAAAATTGCTGTTATTTTAATCCCTAGCATTTGTTTTATTAATCACTTATAAGTCAATAAATCAAGAAGCAGTTCTGAATTTATAACATAAATCATAACATAAGGATGCAATGTTCTTAACCATGTTTCAAACTCATAATTTCATTCTTCTGAAACTTATAAAATATGTTCATCAATAATTGTGATAACCTCAGGACAAATAATTACCTGTTTTCAAAGGAATTTTCTAATTTTCTATGACTTTGTTGTACCATGTATGTATTGCTGTGTTTATTTTTGTATTACTGTTTACTAAAACTATTGTTTCTTCTATAGGGGGACGTAATGAAGTTGTCATCACTGAAAACAATAACAGCATAACTGAGCAAATCACTGATGTTGTGAAGCAACCAGCCTTTATAGCTGGTATTGGTGGTGCCTGCTGGGTAATTTTGATGGGTTTTAGCATATGGTTGTATTGGCGAAGAAAGAAGAGAAAGGGACTCAGTAATTATGCTGGTAAGAAACTATTTCCAGCTCAGAAAACCTCTTATCTTTAGGAGTTTGATGAAATGAGAGAAGGAATGAAATGGAATAACAAGAGAGAGAAGGAATGATTTTTCTTTGACTTCTTTTAAATATCTATTGTGTAGAATACAATTATAAATGACATGTTTTAATGTATTGCTCTTCACAATGTCATATTATGACCGTAAGGCAATCTTTTTGCTCATATCTCCAATGAAGCGTAACAAGAGTGCATATTGATACTTAACCATTTTTCTCAACTAGTTTTTCAAAACACAGAAACACACACACACACATACCTGCACACAGACTTTGCATGCTATGAAGCTATTGTTTGAGAAGTGAATTTAGACAAGAGCTTTACTAAAATGCTCAGAAAAAAAAAAGGGAAAGATATGAACTATAGCATTTAGTATTTCAAAATGCAGATTACAATAGGAAATGTTCCAGATTGAAATAAAAACAAGCAAAAAAACTCACACAAATTAATAAAACCGATGAGACATAAATTAAGGATTTATTAGTCACTTAAATAAGATGTCTATTTCAAGGTGACCAATCAGAATTTTAGAAGGAAGAAAAAGGAGAAGGAAAAGAAACAGCAGAAGAAAGAGAAAGCCCTAGATGTTCAACCTATTGGGGGGGAAAAAAAAAAAAAGTTTTCTTCTTAGAATTCAAAATAGGATTATAAGTATGTAAAAAATTGTGGTCTTTAAAAATTTCCAAGGGTGAGAGGGAGGGAGGGAGAGAGAGAAAAGAGAGAGAGAGAGAGAGAGAGAGAGAGAGAGAGAGAGAGATTATCAAGTCAGTAATTGAAAGAATGAACTAAATACTGAAGCTATATTTAATAACAATTTTAATCAAAATTCATTTAAAAATTTTCTCTAACAATGATCATAAAAGAAACTCTCATAATATTTCACACTTTTTAGAATTTATAAGGGAACAATATTAATTTAACATCATCCTACAAGTACTTTAGCATTTTTTGAGACAATCTTCTATAGCCTTGATGAGAAGCATAAATATCTTAATAACTGATTTTGAGAGACATTTCACTGCTTATTAAGCTTATAAGCTGCTATAGCTTTTAGGCTTCTAAACAGCTGAGAGTATTTAAATAGTGCAAAATGGAAGAAGTAGTATCCACTTGGTTGGCTGGCTTGTTATTTGACAAAATTTAAATATAATCATGTGATTGATTATAACATTGTGGCCCATGTTTGTAACTTATAAAATAAAGTTTAATAGTTACTGGTCAGAATAAATTCCCAAGGCTAGAGAAAGTAGTATAGTATATCCATTGAAAGAGGGCTTTCATGCTGTGTGATCTACTGTCATCTTGTTCTCATTTTTCATTGGTTCCTGATTCATTCTTCCTTATTCTTTGTCATTCTATGCTGTATCACTACACTAGTGAGAGATTCTTCCAAGAAAGGGATGCTGGGCAATAACTGCTGAGTGATAGAGCCTTGAACATTAATGATGTTTTAATTTACTTTCTTGATTTATAGTCCAGTCCTCTGCCTTCATTCCTTGAAGGTACTGTCCATCAGCCCATCTGTTTAATCAATTACTATGGTACACTTCACTATCGTGACGCACTCATATAAGTCAGATAAAACATAAGGAAGAATTGATTTAATTCAAGGACCATTTTGTGTTTGTCTCTTTGTTTGACTTTGGTGAAAATATTAAAATATTGACTATACTAGTCACTTCAGTGGAAAGTTCTAAGATATACACATTTGGAGTGTAGCATCTTTTGCCTTCATGCTTCTTCATTCACCCATTCCTTATGAATAACCTAGCTTTTATAATTAGTAGTTTCGTGCTTATAGTAAAATTATATCAGACAAGCTTTTTTCCTTTTTTCTATTTTTAACAGTTCTTTGCAAAACCTATTGATTTAATTTGAAGATTTCTGTTGGTCTTTGAGCTTGGCAAGAATAGTACATTTCCTATTATCATTTCTCATGGTAATTGATATCCATCTGCTTGTAGAAGAACTGCTAACTCAGAAGGTGCTATGCCCTTCAAACATTTTGGAATAAGGCCAAGCCAGAGAGCAGCCTTTCAAAACCTTTATACTTAATTGATAGATGGCTGACTCTCAGAATGGATTCACTTTCAACGAGTAATTTGCCTTCCAGCAACTGCTGTTCCTTTCTTCTAGGTGAGAAGCAAATGAAAATTGAAACCACAGGTACCTAGCATTGCCTATCTGACTTGGTCATACTTTCTACACATTTTCCTCCATAAATATCCTATCCTCCACCTGTTAAAATTTTCATATTCTTGTTCCTATACAACTTAGAGAAGAAGGAAATTTTAAATAGGAATGATTAATGAAGTATGTATTATAGGTTTAAATTTCTGATATTTCCTTCATGAGCTAATCACCCATTTTAAGAGCACAGAGATTTTGTATAGGGTTATTTTTCTCTGAAGTGTGTTATAAAAGTTATAGAAAATATATACTATTTGTACTGGTTCTATTTATATTTTGGTTTTCATAAAATTTTTTCTGGGAATCACAAATTTCACAAGTAAAAAAACAATGTAATTTTACTGTCAGGATAAGTCTAACATTTCTACTCTTTCACTACATAGTAATGTCTATGTAGTCTCAACATTTTATTGTTAATTCATGACAGCAAATTTTTTTCCCCGCAAATAAACAAAAAGCCTCCTTTGGGATAAGTATTTAAATTAATTTATAACATAAGATACTTTATTTATCTCAAACCCCAACTATGATGTTGGATTATACATAAATATGTGATATAAGTTACATATGTTAAGAGACATGCATTTTAATAAAGCTAGACTGACCCTAAGTAGAATTGTAAAGCAGGTAGAATTTGGTCTCAGCATTCCCTTTTTCTTATTTAATTTCAAGTCTCTTCTTAACCACTAGAAGTAGAACAAGGAAGATTTTAATTAGTGGGGAGATATATGAATACCTTTCAGACTAGAAATTCTCTCATCAGGTTGCTTTCCATTCACCCTATGAAGGCAAAAACTGATTTTTATTTCAGTTAGTCTTTGATTATTCAAAATGTGAAAAAAATATTTTTGAATGCTTGGAAGGAGGGGAAAAAATCCTGCTATTCTGTATTGCTATTTTTCTTATATGCTAGAGATTTAACATTTATCATGGAACACTACTACATTAGCACTTTATATTGTAAAAGCAACTATCAAGAATCAAATGCAAACTTATACATTTCAATAATCTGAGAGGAAAATTTGGCTGAATTTGTTTTGCTTTTTTACATAGCAGAAATTAGGGATTCCCCCAGGGCAACATTACACACTATCTTCCTATTCATTTTTTTTCCCTGTGTATCCTTTATTTAAATTCTTCAGACACAAACATGCACCACAGATTTCCCTGTGGAATAGAGAAGGGCAGCTAGAACAACAAAAAAAGGTATCCTCATATCTAATATTCTACATGAAATCACTTTATATTTTTTCTTTATTTTTGTTTATTTTATGTTTATCTTTTTAGTTTATTTTTTTATGGCGACATTGGTTAACAAAATTGAATGTTTCAGCTGTACACTTTAACAGTAAGGCATATATATATATATTTACACTGTGTGTTACCTCCTATAGTTCGATTTCTAGAACAACATGCAACGTTATTTATTTAATCTTCACTGAGCACTAAAGTCTACTCGTCACTGCATGTGACATTCTTGACTGCTAGAAGAATTCACCACCTAAGTTGTTATAGGGTGAAATAAAATCATTAAGAGATTTGGGCAGAAAAAACTTGAAAATATTAGGTGAGTTTTGAATCTAGAGTAAATATTTGATCATATGTATAACATTTTTTTGAGAATAGAAGAGTGAATAACAAATTTTAATAAAAGCCATGTAGCTTTTTATATAGCTATATAGATAATTATATAAAAAGTATTATACATTCGTATATATTTTATATAGCTACATATGTAATTATATTCATATGTATTTTATATAGCTACATATATAATTATATAAAAAGTATTATATATTCATATATATATATACATTCAGATATATTCTCTCTATATATCATATATACATATTATAATTCACATGAAGACTACATGACCCTTTTCAAATTTATGTTGTTCTCTTTTAAGGCATCAACTTTTTAATGAAAGTAAATATATTTTTACTTTTAATTGGTGAATTTTATTTTTTGACTATTACCTCTGAGTATAACAGATTTTATGAAGCAATGAATATAAACAATTTAGTGAGTAAACAAATTATGAAATGCTAAACACTTCAAGCTAGCTTTTAAAACCATTAATGAAATATAAATTATTTGACAAAACTATCCAAGGACAGCTAAAAGATTTGATGGAATTTTTATACTCTGATTATCTGAGCTGAGTTAATGCTTATTAAAAGAGGATTAATCTACACTCATTTTTGAGAAATAGCTTATCAAGAAAAAGAATGAGGCTTGGCTGGCAACATTAAAGTTTCCAATTGGAGTAGGGAAAATGTGGCTCACTAGAGATAGGCACTCTAAAAGCATTCTTACCTCAAAATGTCAATTTACCACATAGTTATGTTTTCCTTCCCCTTCACTTCTAGCAGGCATGAGATTAGGATTAATCCTGTCAGATAATAGTAGAGGTACTTTGTATATGAGGTAAACTTGCAAAATCTTTTTACCATATATCCTTTATAGATATTCCAATAAATTCAAAATATTTAATGCAATTCTAAAACATTTAAGACTGATGTCTGTAGAACCTTTTGGAAACAAGCATTATTCAGTTAGTTTTAGCTAAAATCTTCCAGACATGAGTCTGAAAGTTCTTAATTTTAGATGCTAGCAGAAACTCATGATAAAGATGCACATTTATTTCAAATTTATCTCTTTTAAACACAAAATTACTACACTGTATCAAAATCATGACTTAGAGCAAAATTGTCCAGCCACCCATACTCTCCTCACCCTCTTTACTTTTAGCTTCAAGGTAGTTCGACATCTCTTTGAAATGATAGCTACTTCGAACAGTTTTCAATATGCTATAACATTTATTTTTGTTTCTTTCTCTCTGTACAAAAAGTGCTAATCAAAACACTGAATATCACTTTAATTTTTGGAGTTCTAATTGTTCATACTTATTTCTAGTCTGCTTTTAATCTCATGGTCTAACAGAACTCAGTTACTGAACAAATCTAAAAGTTTTAGAGCATGGAGTAAAAAGGAAACCTAAAAATGTGTCCTCTTTTATTCCTCTTGCTTAAAAAAGACAACTGAGCAATCTTATTAACATAAGGATCTTTTTCTTTTTCTGATAGAAACATGAAATGAAAGATTCTCTTGTATGCTAACTCGTGTTTATGGGTCACTGTAAGTCATATATTTGCACAATGTACTGTTTTGACCTTCGTATAGCTGGTATGCAGAGATACATTTTATAAAGAATTTATCATTAATTAATATGTAAAAGTTAAATGTAACTCAATTTTTGTGCCTCTGCTTCAGTTGTCTTTCTTTCTCTAATATCATTCATTGCTTTGGCAGTAACAGAAACTTTAAGTGAGCAAAAAGAACATCTAAATTAGGACGAAATATCTAGCTTCTCCCTATATTCTCCTAAGAGCAAATTTTAAGATGTAGTCCATCAGTGCCTGCTTATTTGCATATTTGAAATGATATTCACAACATTATCTTAGCTCTCTTTTAGCGGAGTGATACAATCACTTGATAGTCCATTAAAAACCATGTAACTAGAAACTCACATCAGATGGAAAGCTAATTAGCTGTACTGTTTTGTGGTGTTTTATTCCCCTAATCAAGCTTTTATTTAATACCTCCCATGCTCATTTTTTTTTATTAATTGTTTTAGATTAATTATCTCTTTGTTGTTAAAAGCAGTTATTCAAGGGACCCAATGTGGTTTGGACACATTGCTGATTTCTGATTCCCAGCACTTCAGTAAACTGTCAGAAAACAGAGTAGCAATTAGTATTATTTGATTTTTTCCGAGTTGTTGTTCGTAGCCTATCCTGGGCAGATGCGAAGGTTATGTCAGAATTGTTTTATAATGTATTTGAGATGTTACCTAAAAAATTATAAAGGCAGTATACTTTGTGTGCCAGCAAGATATTTCTAAAAACATTGCATTGTGAGGTGGTACCTCATGAGGGTGTTAATAGACCCATTGGATTATGATGATCATATCGCCTAATCTTAGAGAACGAAGAGCTGCTATTGGAAACTTACCAGATTTAAAGAATGATCATATTTTGTAGTGTAAATTTAAGGAACAGATGAACTATGGAGAGGTTATTCAAATTAAAAAGTATTTACTAGTTGAGAACCATATGATTTCACTCATAAATGGGATATAAGACTAAAAGCAACAAATGAATACAAACAAACGAAAACTTATAGACACAATAGTTTAATGGTTACCAGAAGAAAAGGGGATAGTAAGGATAAAGGGGGTCAAATATATGGTGATGGAAGATTTGACTTTGGGTGGTGAACACATAATGCAATAAACAGATGCTGTATTATTGAATTGTATACTTGAAACCTACAGAATTTTATTCATAAATATCACCTTAATAATTTTAATAAAAAATAAACAAGACAAAGTTATTTATTACGTGTATATTTTAAGTAATACTAGATCCTCAGTTTATTTAAACTAGGAACTAATTCATAAAATTTGTATTACTTTTATCTTTACTCACTAAGTAAAAAAATATCATGGTAAATAAAATTAATACCTTCTAAAAAGAGATACATTGAGTTTATATCTCTAAATTTTTTTCCCTTCATCTCCAATGATTGGTTTAGCTGATCTATACTAATTTTGGACAGAACTACAATTTTACAGTTCATAAACTTCTAAATGCCAATTTTTTTGCATAATTTTTCAGCTAAATCATTTAGTAGCAAAATTTAATCCAAACTAAGGTGAAATTATTTTTAGACTTTATTTCACTAATAATGAATATTCATATTCACTCAAAAATATTTTAAAATGTTGAATATAGCTTGCATTATATTACCTTTCTCAGACATGATACATTTTAATTTTCAAATATATTTGGTTGCAAAGGTTTTGGATTAAGTGATGATGGACGTGAACTAATATTTAAATTTTTTGGTTAAACTTTGAAATCCACTTCCATGTTGTTAGTTTTGCGGAATGGAATCTGGTGACCAGAGGGAGTGGATTCTCTAGCTGTGGCTCTACTGGATGTTTTTTGGTGTTGCTATAAGTTCCACAGTTTTATAAAGGACTTGAGTTTTGCAATGATTAATTACAATTGGAATCTGTTTACTATCCATTATTTGAAAATTTATTTTTGTTAGGGTTGACTAATGAAACAAAGCACTATTGATTACTATTTATGTTTATTGTAATTATAGTTGTTCAACTCACAGTGCTTATCGGTGCCCTTAAAAGGATCTGTGATGTTGAGGAATGTGTCATCAGCCAATATCTGTTTTGCTTGTGTCATTGGAAGGATGATATTACCTGTTTGAACTATTTTGTTTCAATTCGTGTTATACGAATTTTACATATTCCTTCTAATTAGGACACCCGTATATAAAGATTAAAAGTCATGATTTCATAATTTGCTATTAATACTTGTCAATTTTCCAATGTCACTGTATATACCAATTGTAACATTTGTAACATTTGATGCACAAATGAAAATTGACCCTTTAACTTAACCTTACCTTTGGTTTGAAGAATTTTAAAATGTCTTATTAAAGTTGGAGCAAAAGATGGCTTTGCTCTGGGCCAAATCAGTCTTTTTACTCTCTGTACAATTATGGTTAATTATAGTTTGTTAAAATTCCCAGAGGCCTCAGTTCTAAATTAAGGGCCAATATGTAGTTGTTATTAATTGTAATTAATATTGACTAGTTGTGTGTGTATGTGTCTTTTTTTTTTTTTTTTTTGCAGTTACATTTCAAAGAGGAGATGGAGGACTAATGAGCAATGGAAGGTATGCTAAGCAGATTCTTTTATATTACTATTATTATTATTTTTAATCAAGCCTGGGGAAACTCTATAGTAAGAGCCTTTTATTGTAATAAACAATCACTTATAAGTCTGAGAATTCTAGCAGGAATTAAATGGCTTACCATAGGTTTAATGATCTATCTGTCGTGCACTTTAGAGAAATCAAGTCCAGATGTTTCATATCTCCCAGATGCCCCTGAAGAAATGAGTAGTAAATATCACAAGGAATGTGTTCATTTGTTAGCAGGATGTTTATTGCATTAATTAGACATTAGCAAATGAAGTTGCTATTGTTTAAGACTCCTTATTGGCTCTCACTAAATTGCTGTGAGTGAACAATTACACATAATCGATCACAAAGTAAATGATTCATGGATGATGAATAAGCTGTAGATTGATAGGACTGGATTCCACAACTTTAGATACTCAATTGAAATTGATAAAAGCTGATAACAAACCCATATATCCTCATCTATTTTCTTTTTGCCAATATGGGGATTGTAATTAGGTTCTGCTAATAACTTCCAATCTCCCATTGAATCAATATTTTAGCAAAAAGGAGATTAAGTCTAATGAGAACTAGTAAATGTAGCAAGAAAGCATTTGGATCTTCTTATTGCAGTTTCCATAGAAACATATGTTTCTCTTAGGGGTTATACCAGAAAGGGTCTATTTAAAAAAATAAAAAAAAGTGCAATGATTATAGATGTTGCTATTTCTTTGTAAACATGTTGATAACCTGTAAAGAATTCAGAATCCTCGTCTTTAATATTAAAGATGTAAATTCTTTTAACTGTGATGTGAAGAAAGTTTTCTTCGTGGACTCTATACATATGCTGGATGTGAAGAAAGTTTTCTTCATAGACTCTATACATATGCTGGATCAGATCACAGTGGACCTTAAAAAAATTTAATACACCTCTAATATTTTGCAATCTAGAGAACTTGAAAATGTTTTCTATTGATGAAACAATATAAATACTGTTCATTAATTTTGCTCAAGTTCCTTGCTCTAAATCAAACACGAAGGCTCATAGCAGGGCTTACAACCTACAGGGGACAGTTAAATATGGGGGTTGCAGGAAGCGAGGAAGCATAGCCCAAAGTCCTGGAAATGGCTGATACTGAGCAGTCACTATGAGCAATTGTTCCCTTGAGGTACCAATTTATCATCGAACCTTGTTTGGGGATCCTGCTATGTTACCAATTCCCACCAGTTTCAGGGCACACGACTGAATTCATTTGGATGTCAGCAGAATCTCAGGCAGAACTTCTGCTTCTACTGACAGGATTGATCTATATATAGCCTTAATGAACTGCCAATGTTGCTTAATTCTAGAGAGGCTACACATTTTAATTTGAAGTGAATTAAAATCCTAAATTTTTAAATTCATTCTAGTGTATGGGACAGGTATCTATTTCTCACTGAGCTCCATGTGTTGATTTCCTTTTACTTTTTGTTTTAGCCGCCCAGGTCTTCTAAATACTGGTGATCCCAGTTATCCATGGCTTGCTGATTCATGGCCAGCCACGAGCTTGCCAGTAAATAATAGCAGTAGCGGCCCAAATGAGCTTGGGAATTTTGGACGTGGAGGTAAGTTAGGGTTTTCAAAATTTCTTTATTTGTTATTTGTTTTCTTGGCTTTTCTAGATGTTTTAAAAATGATATAAAAATTTCTTCCATAATTAAAATCAGTGAAGCACATATAGTAACAGTGTGATACAGTTGCTGATTATTTTATTATAATACCATTGTGTCAATATTACATTGAGTATAGCTAAGCTTTTAAAAAAGTCATTACTAATCAAAAAGATAAATATTCATAATATATTCATTTTTAAGACTGTTAGTATATGATTACTAAAATCGGGAACTGTGTTGCTAAATAGGGCTTACGAGTTTTGGACTAGTCATTTCACTTCTTTAATTCATTCAACATATATTTATGGAGCATATCCTGTGTACCTGGCACTATGGAAGACAGTAAAATTATGAGAGATGGTCTTTATTCTCATATATTATATAAGGAGTACACACTTAAACAGCATGTTGAAAGAGAACTTTTCTGTAGTTCTACAATTGATAGCAGGTATCTCAAATAAAAGACAAAAGGTGCTAAGTGGTGATATGATGAAGGCTTCAAATTTGATGCCAGTGTCCTCTCCTTAGGACTTTATAAAGAGATAGAATTGGAATTACTATAAACAATCACCACTTTCTCTCTTTCATCTTTTCAACCAGTCAATAGGAGAGCAATGGGTTTAGAGAAAGATGGGACTAGAGAAGTCTCTGGTCCCAGTGTTTAGTTGTGTGTGTGTGTGTGTGTGTGTGTGTGTGTGTGTATGTAAGTTTTGCATTGACAGAACACAGTACACATACCTGAGTAAGACAGTAAACATACCTGAGCTGCCTTGCTGATACCTCTCATGAAAAAGCTGTTCATTGATACTAAGACAGTTTTATGAAAAAAGTATTAGTTAAGTTGATATCTCAAGGAGAGTTAGGAATTAGTCAAATGTGTGATAAAAGTGTGTGGAGAATAAAATACCATATTTTTAGGTACAGAAATAAGAGAGATATTGACCTAATTGAAAAATGAATGAGTAACTTGAGTATAAAGTACAAGGCAGCAGAGGTGCTAAAAAAAAAAAAAAAAAAAGAAAAAAAAAAGAGAGAGATAGAGAGAGAGAGAAAGGACAGATAATAGAGTGCCTTTTAAGCCAAACAAATATGTTTAACTTTGTCCAAAGGGTGATCAAAAGCCACTGATGGATTTTTAAGAGAATGATGATAGGATAAAAGTATTATTTAAATCATCCAGCCTGTTGCTGTGTGAAAAATTGTGTTACAGTGAAAAATGAGTGTGATTAATTAGAAAAATAGAGCTGTAATCTAAAAAAAATCTGGATGACTTCACCGGAGGATTTCTATACTTCTAGGTAGAATGAATACAGGAGACCCAGGGCTGGGTTAAACTATTCTGAGTCTATTATAAAACCTCACTGGTGGATTTCACATGCATTAGCATATAAAGACATTAACTTAGAAGAATAATCATGGAGACCGGCTTTTTCTCTTTAAGAATGGAATATCAATACCTGTTTGTATATAATTAAAATAGTATTTCAAATAATAAAGTTACTAAGTATTGTATGTCTGCATTTGTCAATACCAACTACAAGAAAGTGAGCTCCCTCTCATTCTCCAAAGAAAATAACTATCCATACAATATAGGTGTGTAATGATGATTAAGTGAATGACTATATATGGGTTTAGCTCAAAGCTTGACATACAGTCACTGTGCAATGCGCATAACTGAAGTAAATAAGAGAATAGAGGGTAAGTTGTATAACTCCTCAACTTCTCGCTTACTTTCTATAATGCAGTACACCCCATTTAGGATTCTCACTTGCCCAGAACCTCTGAAATTAGCTGCCTTACATAGGTGACCAAACTCTGAACCCTACAACTATAGATTATCACTCTACCACAGGTAGGTTCTGTACCTGAATATCTCCTTACCAGACCCAATTGTGTTTAAAGAAATTCTGTTCCCAAAGCATTTATCAGCCAAGGGATAACTGCCTCTTTTCTTAGTTGTATTTGTATTGAAATAGCACACCATTCTATTTTTATGTCAAAGAATAAATGCCTAATATGGAGGGAAAAATTACTTTTCAGTTTCTAGCAAGCAATACTAACATCTAAAATGTCTCGGTCTAATTTAGCCAAAGGGTACATATGTAGATTTTCAAGGATTTTCTTCCATTTCCACCTCATTTTCATGACATAAAACATTTCACAGATGAACATCGAGGCCAAGACAAAGTTTTTGAAGGGTTTACTGTATCTGTTTTCAGTGTGATAGGTATTCGAAGCATTTACTATGTACCAGAATTTCTATTAGAGATTTTTTACTTTTTTTTCATTTTCTTCGCACAATAAATGTTTGACATAGATAATCATATTTCCATTTTAAAAGTCAAGAAACTAAGATTTATCAAGATGGGTGTAGAATGCAGGTCTGACAGATTCTAAAGCCTAGGTTATTTACACTGCTCTGCAGTTTTAAAGGTGGGATTCACATGTATGATTATAGTATAACCGTATTTAGTAATACCAATACATGTTTATTGGTATTGATTTCATTACATGTAATGAAAGTGGTATTTTGAATGATAAAGTTATTAATTATTGCATAAGTTTACATTTTGTCAATGCAAGCTTAAAAATGTATATAACCATTCAGTGAGCGCTTATTCTCTGCAAAATACTAAGTTAGGAATTATGGAAATACAGACATAAATTTCTATGTTCCTATCCTTGAGTAACTTATGATACAGTGAAGGAGACAGGCATTCTTATGAGTAGTTATACCAGACCAAAAAAAAAAAAAATTAACCAAGATATTGAAAAACTACAGAATGATTCATGAATAATTCCAAATGGACAGAAGGTTTTCTGTAATTCATAGGCTTCAAACTCAAATGTTAACAAGTTCCAGTCAGCCAACTCAGAGCACTAGGATGGGTAGGTGTAGAATGTGAGAAATAGAAAATAGGAAGTCATGCCTAAAGATGGCAGCACCTATTCAGGTCCAGACTATTGGGAGGAAGGCTGACCAAAACTACCAAACCAGCTAATGTTAGAGATGCTGCCCCACATCCACATATTCATGCATGAGCATCTAATATTTCAATGTTGTGATATAATTCGATTTAGTTTTTTGAAAATGTAGGAATAATCAAATAACATTTGAAGGAAATATGCAGTTCCAAAATCAATACAGAAGCACTTAGACTTGAAGGTTGACTAATTTCATCCAACAAGGGGCGGGGGGATGGTGGAGAGAGAGAGAAAGAGAGAGAAAGAAATTCTATTTTAAAGCATAGCTTTAGCTCTTGAAGTGCAACATTATGTAAGATTAGATTCACAAACTACTGTTTTTTTTTCATTTTTAAACATTTAAATACAGGACCACTTCAAAAGTTTGTGTTGAAGTGGTCCACAATTTAAATCTAAAGCTTTGGAGAACATCAAGTCCAAGATGCTGAGAAATGAGGCCTGTGCTGGAGAAGCATGTCTATTCAGTTAATATTCATCAGTGAAAGACATGGTAATAGTGGCAGAAACTATGAAAATCTTCAGAGTAAAGGATTTATTTCCACAATTTTAATGTATTATTAAATATTGTAAATTTTTGAGAATAAAATTGACAATGACACTTGAGAATGAAATACACTGCATCATCAAATTTTCTAATTAGTTTATAGCTAAAAGCAAGAATGGCAAGGTAGCTGTGAAATTCTGAAATAAAAAATAATAATTTTATTTGCTTATACAACTTGGTGAAATACTTTAACTTTGAATATGTTTAACAATCTCACTGATATGCATTTTAAATATTTACTTCAATAAATTACATATCAATTCAATGGAAAACAAGTTGGAATTGCAGACTTCAAAACCTTCAGAAAGACTTAAACTGTATAGTGTACAAAATACATTATCAATGTCCCTTGACTGTTGTTAAATAAGAAAAATTTTATATTTATAAAATGTGAAAACAAAAATAATATTTTATAAGAATTCTTGTTTCAAGTACTGTTAGCTATCATCAAATTGAAAAGTTTTAGGATTTTTTGACTATGTTCCTACTTCGGCTTCTTCTTTATGATACAAATGGGTTTAGTATTGGGGTAATTTGGTTCATTATTTAATATTACCATACTATAGTTAGTTGAAAATTTTCTTTATTGAAGAAATGAAGATGGTTGATAACCTCAAGTTCAATGAAGTATGGCTTTCAGAACATAGATTATTAAGGGGCATAATATAATTAGATTCACTTTTAACTCTACATGATTAAAAATTGTGTTTATTTTATTTATTTATTTATTTTTAATTGATTTTTTTTTTAGATTTTAGAGTCTTTATTCTGAAAACAAAATAAGAGCTCAAGAGAAAAGTGGCAGGTTTGAATTATAAAGATAATACAGCACACCAAAGTGATAACTGTTAAATGGACTGATTGATATTCAGTGTTGTTCCTAAAGTTTAATTTTACTCTTGCTGTATTACAACTTGAAACTATAGTTCTCCACTTCTAAGAGCTGGTAGCATAAATTAAACTCACTCATCATTCGGATTGCTTTTTATATAGTTAACTCCTGCTGGATTGTGAAAATGACTTATTCATGAAAATTTTTCTTTGTTACTCAAGGCGGTGGGGAACATTTGCTACCATCAGTTACACTCTATTTCTGGAGTTGTGAAATCAAATCAGATAAACAGCAAGTTGAAACTTCAGGAATATGTACCTCATAGTTTGGATAGTATAATTTTGGAAATTTTTGCATCTATTCAGCAGTTGCATTTTGTGTCTTTTGGGATAAAGTGGAAAATTATATTTTTAGCCATAATTTGTATATTCACTCTTATCATTGTTTCTGCAAAGAGTTAACAATTTCATTAGCTCTAAAACAGAATGAACAACTGAAAGAATTTTTCAGTAGTGAAATATCTCAAACTTCTTATTCATAGTTGAAGAAAATGAGGGAAGTATTGTGTTAAGCAGTGAGACGTGAAGGACGAGCAGTAGCCTGCCTGTCACCGAGGCTGATAGCTTGGCGAAGGTTGTACATCATCTACCCTTCATTGGTTCATGAAACCCATCTCAGCTGAAATGCAAACGTGTGGGATGACACATATATTTTTCATCTTCAATCCTGATAGTTTGGAGCTTCCTGCGCATCATTAAATTGTTTCATTTTCCTATGTTAACTACAGATGTTCTGCCACCAGTTCCAGGCCAGGGGGATAAAACAGCAACGATGCTCTCAGAAGGAGCCATTTATAGCAGCATTGACTTCACGACCAAAACCAGTTACAACAGTTCCAGCCAAATAACACAAGCTACCCCATATGCCACAACACAGATCTTGCATTCCAATAGCATACATGAATTGGCCGTCGATCTGCCTGATCCACAATGGAAAAGTTCAATTCAGCAAAAAACAGATCTGATGGGATTCGGTTATTCTCTACCTGATCAGAACAAAGGTAACAATGGTAAGTCAGGTTCTTATTTCCTAGAGTTATTTTCATATCATTCGTGCATGAGATAGAAATTAGCATTTATTGCTCAGTTTCATTACTAGGTTCACTATATGAGCTAAAAACATATATCGGCATGTATTCAGTACCTTGCACAATTCCCATCACCACCCCCACCACCACCACTAAAAAAATGTCTGAAGCACTGTGGGCAAAAGCTGTGCTTTTAAATGAATGCCATCCCTTCCTTTTAGAATTTGCCACCTCACCACCCCCACCACCACCACTACCACCACCCCACCACCACCACCACCACCACCGCCACCTCCACCGTTGCTACCACACACACCAACACCAGTCCGTTTCATTCTTTTTAGCTCTTTTTCAATAGCGTGATCAGTAATTCATCTTGACTTCCATTAGGCAGGATAAACAACACATTTTTCCACTGTCCTCCAACATCTGCTTCTGAGTTGCTAACTGCATGTTCTGCATGGGCTTGTGCTGTGAACTAATCACATGATGCCACTATGACCTCTGCCCTTTAACCTTTAGCCTTACTTTACATCCCTGACTACCGATTGGCTGAGGGATTGTCTAATAGAATGCCACACAACCAGTCACAGGATTTCAGCACCACCAGCTCTCACAACAGCTCAGAGAGGAGTGGCAGTCTCTCAGGTTGGTCTCATCACAGTAAGGAGAAATATTTGTTTGTCACCAGCATATGACCTGTGTTCCTAAAAACCATGAAGCAATAACTGAATCACAACTCACTGTCAGGCATTTATCCTACAGATGACAATAACAGTTTATCCTAATGAAATCATGCTTGGGTGGGAGAATAAAAATCACTGTCACCCTTTATTTACTAACTGTATAAAAACATATTTACTGAAAAATAATACCATTTTACTAAATACTGTTTATTCAAGGGCAGATTAATTTTATCTGCCTTGAACTACCTACTTAAGAGCCAAGAGAACTTTACAATAAAAAGATCATACTGGAAAGTCAACTCCATGGCATGACACTAAAAGATGAATTCAAGTAAAATGCATATGATTTTAGAAATTTTCATACTATTAGGATTCCAGCAATGTGACTTACTAATTTTATACAATCTTTCCTAATTATCATGTAATAATAGAATTTATTATCTATTTAATGATATCATTTAAAGTAAGTGACACCACACTAAAAAAGAATGTTAATATGGGACATTATTCTTCACATTTAATTTCCCCTCAAAATACAGTCTTTCATGTTGATAATTTTTATACTGTTTATTTTAATACGTATTTGAGATATGTCAGCCAAAATAGCAAGCTATAATGTAAGTTTTATATAGCACATGTAGGGAATAACACACTTTACTGGACAGAAATATATACCCATTCTAATAAATATTAGTAATATCCTCCAGGCCCAAGAATCCTCATCTCTAAAATAAGGAGGTCGTAGTAGACACACTCTAATCCCAACCATAACATGTACATTGTATGACTGATGACTTTATCTGCACATTTCTGATTGATTCCATGACCTTACTTGCTTAATTTTTCACATTAATAATATGCTATTTGTTTTTATGAATTTTTTTTAAAGTACAGGTTCTTATAAAGGATTATTGTGCATTATGATATGTTACAGGGATAACAGGCATCAAGGATATAAAGAGTTAATTCTTTTATATCATTAGGGTAACATTTACTAAATGACTTTTCCTCAGGAGATAGAACCCTTTCAATGTGAAAATGTTAATGCTTTTTTTTCCCCCTCCAAAATGGGCCATTTGCTCTTCTTACCTATTGGTAGAAGTAGATACATTATGGAATCCAGAAAATTTTAAACATCTGCTATGAATTTAAACTGGCTTAATAATATAAAGGGCTTTTTAAAATAACCTTATATGTCATTTATATTGTCATTTATTTGTAATGAGTTTCACAATTGCATTGAATAATTAAAAAGTAATTTATCCTGGACTTATTTCATTCAAGATATATAAAGTCTCAAGCAATATATTCATATATATACTATCAGCCATGGAATACATAAGGCCTTCTGTAAATCTTTCATTAAATATCCTGTGAATGTTAATTGCCACTGAGTTTTAAAAGTTATCTTTTGAGTAATTGTAAGCAGAACATGATTTACAATAGTGCTTACTTCTTTTTTGAATCCATTTATTTCCTGAGTGACATTTACATATATCTATGAATTATATTAACTACTTCATCTACATTTGAATACAAAATTACTTAAATCAGTGATAGAAAGCATTCTTTAGGAGGAGAAAGTGAATTGATTATTCCCTTTTTAGTTCAGTTCAATTGAGTTTAATATTACGGAGTTTGTTTTATTCTTATAATCGCTAGTATATTTCCTAAGGCTCAAATTTAGAATCAAACTGCCCTATGGATATTTAATCATATCATATTATAAGATTTTCTTAATTTGTGCACAGTGATGAAACCAATTTAAAAATAATTACAGTAATAAAGAAAATTGGACATTTCAGAATTGAGTGAATTTCTCATTCTCTTTGAAGTACTTTTATAATTTATTCAATACATAAGTAAGAAGCACTTCTATTAACAATCCAACCATTAAAAATATAAAAGACAACCCATATCTTTTAAAATATCACCTACATAATAATTTTATACATATACATGTGTATACATAGCACAATATTAGTATCAGTAACTAAATCTTTTTAAATGGCAATATTTTTAAAAATATTTTAAAAGTTTAATTTGAAAATTAGCCACTTTTATAATTTACTTAGAAGTCATTTATTCAGCATAAATAAATGTAAATCCAAATATTTACATTTTGTATTGAAGAGAGATGGGTCACATATGTTTTGCAAGTCTTAAAAATATGTTCCCCTAAAATGTAATGGAGGTAGTCTTCACCTTAAAATGCTTGAGGACTACGGCCATGCCGCCCTGAACATGCCCGATCATGTCTGATTTCAGAAGCTAAGCAGGGTCAGGCTTGGTTAGTACTTGGATGGGAGACCACCTAGGAAGACCAGGTGTTGTGGCGTAAAAAAAAAAAAAAAAAGCTTAAGAATCTTTGATTGCAAGTAACAGCAACAAATTGTGGCTCACTTAGCTCAAGGTTCAAATCTCAGATAGAAATTAATTTCTTTAGTTTACGTCCTATGCCCACCACCATGCTAAGAAGCCACCTCTTAGCTCATTGCTATAAAAAGATAAAACATGTTGATTGATAGTTCTACCAAGACTGTCCATAATGGGATAGAAGAAATTTCCCCCAAAAGAGATGTCGTGGACATTGATGGAAAGCCCTCACAAATTCCCTCTGTGAATGAATCAGCTCTGTTTCCACAACACATTTTTAAGTCTGTTGTTTAGAGAGTTGATAATGGCTTTTTTAACCTTGGATAAGGACTTCAACAGAGTTGGGTTCAGAGCTCCAGAAATAGTAATTCCAACAAGAGCTGCTGCATTTTAATTTTTCTTCTCTCTCTCTTACTGTGTGAATGTGGGCCACATAACACTCAGAAAGCATCTTTATTTTTTCGTCTATAAAATGGAGGAGGTGTAAGAACTTCCCTGTTTGTGTCACTCAGGTCTAGTGGTGATCACATAACATTGCTAAAAGTGCTATGAGAAGTATGAAAAATATTGTACACATATAAATATATAAGAAATAAAGGAGGTATAACTAAAGCAAAAGTTGTGAAAGACATATAGCCCAACCCATTCATTCCTCTTTTAATTATTAAAATATAGTTTTGATACAGAAACAATAAAATCCTTTTCTGTGTGACTCTAATGGGTTATCAGGAAACAAAGGATTAAGGCTCATCTATCTTCAACACAAAAACTGGAGACTTAAATTCAAACAAGCTTATTATTCTTATTCTGAGAATCAAGCTATTTTTGAAATGCTCTTTGGGGTTGGAGGAGCTGGGTGTGGCAAAGGTTTTAGAATCAGGTAGAACTAGATTTGCTCTGAGACAGAGGCAATCGAAAAAGTAGTAAGGATTGGCATTTATTGAGCATTCTCTACATTCTGAGCCCTTTATAATCATTATCTCTTGTAATCCTCAAAATAACCAAAAAAAGTAGTAACTTTATATCTGTTTTACATATGTGGAAATTGATGTGATAGCTTCTGAGTAACTTATCAAGTAATTGAGAAAGTAGTCTTCAAATACAGAGATTAAGTTCTTATCCTTGAAGCAGAAGTTACCTGCTCTCTTTGCTCTAAGAAGCCACCTCTTAGCTCATTACTATAAGAAGACAAAGGATAACAGTGAAAGGAAAGGTGAAAGCACTTTTTTTTCAGGGATGCTCTTTTAAATATGTGTGTATAAGTGAATGCTACTTAGAAAACAGACATAATCCCATAATGGGCAACAGTATATATGTCCAGTTTAACAGTTTTATCACTTTCCGGCACTTAAACAAGTTATTAAATTATGTTAATTTTCTGAATTGGCTGATGTAGATTAGTAATTTGCTCATGACTTTTGTTCTAGAAAGATGAATTCTAAGAAGTCGATACGATTTGGGGGAGAAATATACACCACAGAGGGAGTAAACGAAGTTACTTACTTAGGTTCCTCTGAAACATCCTTTGTCATTCTGCTCAAGAAGTATTAATTCTTGCATCCACTTGTGGTCCATTTAGAAAGGAACTTTATTTACTTAATTTTGGAAGAGTGAAAAGTATGACACTATACAAATGATAAATTTTATATTTCATTAAGTTTCAGTAATTCCAGATATGGCCTATATGCTGCTGAGTTACTTTCTGCTCATGTTTGGTACATAGATTCATTGGTATTACAATTGTCCTGAAACTGATTACTGTATTTTAATTCATTTTCTTTCCTGTTTGGAATTTCAGGAAATGTTATGCTTAAAATATCTGGGAACTACACTCATTATGCAAAAAATAACTGTGTCATTCATTAGTTAAAAATTTTATAAAACATATCGATGTTAAAGATTTACAAGTATCCTCCAGTATAGTTGATTGATTTTTATCAGTTAATTTTGAGAGAAAACTGTTACTCCTCTGAATTAATTAAACTGAGTACATTCTAATGGAAAAGTTTAGCCTGTATCCTTAGACACTGAATTTTCCACTGAGAGAGATTATGCAAAAGAGCATTATAAATGCACTAAAATCTGACATTTGAAAGAATTTGTTATGGCCCATTATTTCATCTAACAATGAAAACGTGGAGGTAGCAGACATGAGTAAATCAATAAATGTGCTTTTCCTACAGCAGCCATGTTTTTGGTTTATTCAGCTCTATATTTAGTTAAAGCACTGGGAAAGAAACAATACTATTTTTTGAGAGATTTATGAAAAACGTTTTCTGATTATATCATTTTATTATTTATAGCTTTTAACTACTATAACATACTGATTCTGGTGTTTTGAAAACATAAATACATCTTCTCATTTGATATATTTTGTTTCTTCTGATATTTGGTTATGTCTGAATAAATGCATTATACTTTCAGGTGGGAAAGGTGGAAAAAAGAAGAAAAATAAAAATTCTTCTAAACCACAGAAAAACAATGGATCAACTTGGGCCAATGTTCCACTACCTCCTCCCCCAGTCCAGCCCCTTCCTGGTACAGAGCTGGAACATTATGCAGTGGAACAGCAAGAAAATGGGTAAAACCATTTTATACACCAACAAAATGCCCAGGGCTGTCCTCCCCTCTCTATTGTGCATTTTTGTCTTTATCCTGTATTCTCTTACAGTCTTCCCTCCTTTTTCCCAGTCTTTTCTTTGCTTCTCTTCCCTTTTATTGTTTGCATCATCTATATATTTTAGCTGATAAATACAACACATTATACACTGAGGACCTAGAAAGAATCCTTGGCCATCAAGTGCCTTAGATTGTCCGCAATCATGAAAATGCAGCCTCCTTTAATAATATTGCTTGTTAGTTTGAAAGCAAGTACCCACAGCTCTGTGAACTAAAGAGCCACTCCAGAGAAGGGCTGAAAAGGGAATTAAAATAACCTTCTTCATCATCCCTCACAGTCCTCTAATGACTTGATGTCTGGGCATAGCAGGGCGCCCACTGTTGAGCTCCCTCACAATGGGATAATTATAGGGACCTGGCCAGTGGGTACAACTTTAATCGTCAGCTTTGATAGGAATGTAGGAGCCTGAACAATAAAAGAGGTTCAAGCCAGTGCACACTCTGTAACAAAACCTTTTTAAGTCAGAAAATTTCTTTGGAGGGCCTTTAAATATGACGGGTTTCCTTATTCTTTCCTAAACTTCTCACAAAAGTTAATTTGTTTTCATTCGTTAGTTGTAGTGTTATTTGATTTAAAGCAGAAAGACATTGATACATTTTATTCTCTAATCTAAAAACAAATAGCAAGTCAGAAGAAATATATTTAGTCCCTTTTTCTATTTTAATAATGCTAATTGCTATCTTCCTCAGTTTCCAAGGTCACTATTGCTTTTAAATGATGCTGAAAAATACAGAATAAAGGCATTTTTTCTTTCTCCAAGTTTTTCTTTATTTAGAAGTATTTAGATATTAAAACACTAAAATTAAACATTTAATGAAATATTAAAATTTAGTTTATTTGAATAATGTTTTATTTTCTCTTATTTCACATAAAGATTACATGTACATGCTTATACATTTTTGTCTCTATATCTTTTTCTTTTTACATAACTGCTGTTTTTGCAGTCTCCAGATTAATTTTCCTAAACTGGACTTTCTATGTTACATTTGTATCCTTAAAAAGACCTCATTGCTTTTTCTCTCATTTATGTAATACATATACATACATACTATATATGCATTATACACATTATATATTTTTCTTAATATCTTTCCCTTCAAAAGGTTTAATTTGCTTCTATGGGATTGTAGTTCCCATATATATGCATATCACTATAATTTTACTTTTAAAAAATAAGTTTACATTGTAAATAAAAATTAAGAGCACATCCCTTCTTTTCTGACTTAAAAATAAACTCTCTATATGATCATATGTAATATATATATTGGAATATAAATGTGTCAATGTTACATGGATCCTGGGGGGGGGAGAAAAAAATGTGTATTTTACAAAAAAGATTATTACAGGGCTTAGAAATCATCATTTTAAAGGCTGTAGTCAGAAAATGAGGAATAGAACTTATAAACTAGGAAGAGAAATTAATGCTGTTAAACATTGATAAGATGAAGACTTGAACTCAGATCATATGGAAATTATCAATAATTTGGATTCTTTCTCTTTTCTTTTCTCACTGTCTACTTAAAAAATACATAGACTATAAGAAGACCTATTACCTATTGAAATAAAACTAACTTTTTTCCAAATAAATGCTAAGCTTCTCACTTGACTCTGTTGCTCAGCAATAGAACAGAAAATATTTATTTGATGAATGAAGTATTACATGTTGGTGCAGATTTTTATTCTGTAATACAAATTATTTTCAAAACATTAAAATATAAAATGTAAAATTATTTGTACCTATTTGGGGATTGTAAATTAGTTTAACATTCAGTCAAAATGTATTATATTAGAAATTATTTTTTTTTAATTTTTTAAATCCATTTGATATTTTAGATAGGTACAGAAATACACTTTTTGACTATATATATTCAGAGCCTTTGTGTCATACATGAACTTTGGTTCTAACTTGCCTTTGAGTTACTTAAGAACCTAGTATTTTCTGGAAAAAAAGAAATTATTATGCTTAACAAATATAGTAGGTAAGTCCCAATTTATCATTAAGCTAATAACAAAATTCAATTTCCTTATTATTTGGACTCGGTTTTCTAAAGATGAACACTTATAAGTTCTTATTTCAATTGTCTGTACTAAAAGCATGTATTTAAAGTCCATAAGACAAGAATAAATTAAAATAAGTGGATTTGGGATGGCTTCGTCCATTTCTTGTATAGTCTTTATACTTTTATGTTTTTTAATGTGAAAACCTTATAATATTGAAAAGATAAGATTTTTGAATACTTCCAAGATTATTTATATGCTGCTGTTTGTGATGTTAACATTGACCATTTTGCAGAATAGTTAATTTGTAGAATTGTTTATCTGCCTTGCTTTGAAACAGGCAGGTTTAAGGTTTTCTTGAAATACAAACAACAAAAACTTTAGAAGACAGCTTTTTTGTTTTAATATATATATATTTTTTATTTTTAACAAGAATTCTGCAGTTATACTTCTTATGGTGATATATTGTTTTTGTTGGTTTTAACATATCATAATAAAGAATTATTACAACACAGTTTTTTTTTTCAAGTACATAAAAAGTGCTAAGCCCAAGGCTAGGAAGGAAAGCAACAGAGATGAAAGAAAGAAATAAAGCATTAATAAGAAAGTTCTGATCCCTAAACTGGAGAGCTCACAAGAGTGGGAGGTAGAGATCAGAAACCACAAACACACACACGCTCGCACACACACAATTTTGTATGACAAGCCTGAGATGAGCTATGTGTATGCAATAATAATTTGCATACAAAAAAGAATAATCATATATGACAGGTAGGCCTAGGGCATTTCTACAGAAGTTGAATTTTGAGGTGAATTTTGAATCATTTATTTATAAATAATAGTACTCAGAGTAGGATGGTTGTTGCATGCCAAGTTCTGAATAAAAAGCAAAAAGGAGAAAGATAATGAGAGATAGTTCCTAACTTAAAGTAGCCAATGCATGAGAATACATTGTTAACCAACGAATTGAACAAAATGCTACTAGTATTGCCATTTACTGTGCAAGGAAAAAAAAAAAAAAATTCTGGCCAAAGACAGCAACTAGAAATAAAATTAAAGAAAAGAAAAAAACAATATCCCCATTAGTCTTCCTCTGTACTTTCCACCCTTTCTTTGAAACCCTGCCCTATTCTAATTAAATTACTTGTCTTTTATTTATTTATTTTTCATTAATCTTTAAGTTTACACTTCTATTGAAGTAATTATGCTGCATTCCAATTGCTTGTCTGTATCCTTCCACAGTTGGTAGCTGCTGTGTGAGGTTTGTTGAGTTTCAAACATGTGTAGGGTAACAGATAATCTGAGGTGTCTTGAGGCCAATTGTGAAGATTTGTATGTCATATAGAAATTCTTATTGTTGGGTATATATAAAGGATTGAGGACATAAGGTTGAGGCATAATGTAGGGTATATTGTAGCAGAATGGCCAACATCATGAAAATGATAAAGGAATAAAATAAGGCAATGGCAGTGGGATAGAGGCAAAAGGATAGATTTTGGAAATAAACCTAACCGATAATAATCACAATCTTGAAAAGATTGTCTCTTGTTTTTTATTACTCTGTTTAATATTGTTTCTAAGAGTTGAGATATCTTTTTTGTTGTTGTTTAATGTAAGCTTTTTTATATATAATTAAATTTATTGGGGTGACATTGGTTAATCAAATCATATAGGGTTCAAGTGTACAATCCAATAATACGTAATTTGTATATTGCATTGTGTGTTCACCACCCAAAGTCCAATTTCCTTTGTCACCATATTTTTGATCCCCTTAACCCTTACCTACCGCCTCCTGACCCATTTCCCTCTGGTAAACACCAAACTGTTTGTGTCTATGATTTTTTGTTTGTCTTCTTTGTTTGTTGCTTTCAGTTTTATATCCCACATATTTTTGGAATCATATGGATCTTAACTTTTTTCCCCAAGCCTTACTTGGGCCATTTTCGCCTTCTAATAATAAATATTAAAAGTTATCAAATTATTTTCCAAATACAAAAAGTATTTAATTGTTAATTCAATACTATAGCAACAATGTTTTTCTCATCAATATGCCTCTCTGTTTGACAAAAATGTGTCAAAATGTATTCATTTTTTGCTATAATTATAATGTATTTTTTAATATAATCATATGATGCTAAGAAAAATTTAGTAGTATTCAAAAGAGAATTGATGCTCTGCTTTGTTATAGCAATTTAGAGATTGGCAAGATTTTGTGGGTGTTGAACTTCATTGTATTTTTATTAGTAATTTGGCATTTGTATCTGGCCTTCAACATGTTAGTTCACATACAACATTGATTTGTTGTCATCCTTCTCATTATTTACCAGGCAAGACAGACACTATGATGTCTCGTACTTCACCGACAATAAGTCAAAGAACAAAAGCTTCTCTAGGAAAGGTTGACCAAAAGACTTTGGTTTGTCATTAGAAACATTTTCCCAGTCTATTTGTAATTACTGTTGAAAATCCATCACTCAAATAAGATATATATCTATAAAAGTGAAGAAAACTCTAAAAACAGATTTATACTTTTTATAATATTTACAGACATCTGTTACTTTCTTGACCTTCTTTAGAAACTGCATGGAACCTAAGTATTTTTTGTTCTGGAATGGAATAAGACATGAATATTTCATAGGTGATAAACAGTTCTCCCCATCATACGATATGCTCCATGACCCAAATTTTTCACCTATTCTGTTATGTTCTTCTCCCAGTCTCTTATTCTCCTCTATTTTCCACCTCTTGCATAAACCAATGACATGAATTCATGGAATTTTCTCAGCTTTGTATGTGTTCCACAGGGGTACAGAGTTTGCTCACTCCTATTCTAGGTTCTTAGTAGAAAAGACTTGGAACAATTGATGAAAAACACCCATTCTAGGTAAATGGAATAGCTATTGAAATATTTTTTAGTTATTTAATACATTAATCACTGTACTTGTATGATAAAAATATTTATATAGTTAAGTTCTCCTTTGCCTGATGATATTTGAATAATAATAAAAAAATGACACAACTAATTACAGGAGTTTTTCTATGTTACCTTTATACATGATGCATGTCACATTATTTCTTCCTTCTCTTACATTTTCTGTGTATTTTCGTTCCATATCTACATTTCCTTTAGATTATCAAAAGTAAGAATCATTTGCTACTTATAAAATAAGGAATTTTAGAAATTAATGGGCTACTTTCATTTGAATATATAAATATGTGTTTTCTTTATTCAATTGTATGATATCTCTGACAATAAGCCAATGTAAGCAAAGAAAGTACATGTACTAATTTATGGAATGAAAATATAGTGCTTTTTTGTAACAAGTATTATGGAGTAAATTTAATTATAATTATAGATGAAATACAACAACGTGCACATGCCATACTGAAAATGGGCAGTTAATGGTATGCAGCATTGGTTAGAGGATGGAAAAAACTAAGAGCAATAAATCCAAATGGGTATGTGGGTTACAAACTTTTTATACAATCAAACCTTTTCTTTAAATGAAATTTAACTATGAGCTCCAAGATATAAAAAAAGAAAAATGACATTGTTTGAGAGCAATATGTTTTTTTCAGTCATGTTGGTACTTGTGTAGTCAATGTAAATATAAGTTTAATCAATGGTATTTTATACTATATAAACATTTTTATTTTTAACAGGTTAAACTATGCTTGTTTATACTAAAATATAAAAGATATTTCTAAAGAGATATTCCTAGCAGACTATACATGGTTTCTGACACAGGTCTTTAGTGTGCAACTCATTGAGGTAGAAGATTATTCAGGTAGAAATAAAAAAAAGAAAATTGAACAGCCAAAGATGATATCATTCTCTGTACAAAACCTTTCAATGATTATCCATCACCCACAGGCAAAATTCCAAACTCCTTCCCTGGGCTGATGAAGCCCTGTGTGATCTGGCACAGCCTCACCTCCCTCACCTTATCTATGGCCAACCTTCTTTATTTACCAGCTCTTCCTAGTCACATAACTGTTTGAGTTCTTTGAATACTTTATCTTTTCTCTTTCTCTGGGCCACCACACACATTACTTAGAGTATCCCCTTTTCTGGTGGTCAGCATAGCCTTGCTCAACTCCAAAACTAGTTTCAGCGTCCCTGCTTTCTAATCCTAAAGTACTAGATATTGCTGATTATCTGCTTATTATCAATCTGCCCCCATTGGATTGCATGCTCTGTAAATAAATCTTGTTACCTGACACATGATTGTTGAATAAAAGGATGATAAATTCAGTGTTGTTTTTTTTTTATAGACTTTATTTTTTAGATCAGTTTTACGTTAAAAGCAAAATTAGGCAAAAAGCAGAGGTTTTCCATATACTCCTTGACCCCACCCATGCACAGCCTCTGCTGCTACCAATATCTCCCACCAAAGTATTATGTTTGTTAAATTGATTAACCTAACTTGACACATCATTATCACTGCAAATCCATGGTTTACATTAGGATTCATTTGTGTCGTTGTACATTCTGTGGGTCTGGACAAATGTACAATGACGTATATCCACCATTATAGTATCATACAGAGTACTTTTGCTGTCCTAAAAGTTCTCTGTGCTGTGCCTATTTATCCCTCTCTCCTTAATCTCTCTCCTTAACCTCTGCCAACCGCTGAACTTTTTATTGTCTCCATAGTTTTGCCATTTCCTGACCGTCATATAATTAGAATAATATAGTAGGTAGCCTTTTCAGATTGACTTCTTTCACTTAATTATATGTATTTAATTTTCCTCCATGTCTTTTCATGGTTGATAGCTCATTTCTTTTTAGCAGTGAATAATATTTCATTATCTGGGTGAGTCACAATTTTATTTCTCCATTCACCTACTAAAAGACATTTTTGTTTGCTTCTAAGTTTTGGCAATTATGAATAAAGCTGCCCCCCAAAAAAATGGTGCAGTTTTTTTTTTGTTTGTTTTTTGTTTTTTTATCAATTCAATTTTAAACAGGATAAGTGTAGCTCAAGTAAAACTACTCAAGAATCATCTGGACATTTGCAAGTTAGCATTCGTAAGAGATATCAAGATTAGATATATACATTTATAATATTCATCCTATTTTCAGTTTCTTTAATGAAAATCTTTCATATGTTAGATATTGTACTGGTTGGTAGAAATGCAAAGTTGAGAATTAAAGAGTGCTTGAGTTTAAGGATCTCACAGAATAGTGAGAAAAAAGAGACATGAAACAAACCATTCCAGTATAATATGGAGAATGCTATAGTATAAGTATAATGGAATTATAATCAATTCCATATGGTGGGGGCAGAGAAGGCTTCACAGAACTAACATTTGAATTAAACCTTGAAGGAAGAGCTGGGGATCACAGGCAGATGATTTGAGAATAGTCATATACAGATTTATAATTTAGAAAAATATATGGAGTAGACTGGTGTTTGGAAAATAGTGGGAAACTGAGCTATAAAATAGGTTCTGCTAATGAGTTTGAACTTTTTCTTGTTAGTGATAATCACTGAATAATTTAAAGCATAGTGTGACATGAATGAAGATTTCAGAAATACCATCCTATTGCTTGTGCGAAAGATAGGACCAAAGAGATGAAAAAGACATGCCAAGAGACTAGGAAAGCCAATGGGTAGTTCACATCCAAAGGAGACTGACCTGTGTGTGATCTTGGAAGTAGAGAAGTGTAGGAGAAAGTTTTGAGAAGTATTTAAGAGGTTGAATTTCTAGGGTAATTGCATACAATAATACTGCTTATCTTATCCTTAATTCTCTTTTTAAATACATAGGAAACTTTTTTGATTCATGAAAATAATAGTACCACAGAGAAAGTGTAAATACAATTTTTTATGTCACAATTAAAACTTTTTGAATTAATACTCTATAGTCTTTAGCCAGAGTCCCTAAAATCATGCTGTTTTTAAAAACTGTTATTTTTCTTTTTAATATATATTTCACATGGTTAGGTTTTGTACTTCTGTTTTATAGATTTTAAATGTCAAAATACAGGGAGACATGAGTTTCTACTGAGAAAAATGAAAGAATTAAGAGATCAAAGGGGTATTGAATAATTTTGTAGCACAAAGTTTTAATGATTGACATGTCATCATTAATAAAAAGTTGGCATAAATGTAGAATGAGTAAATAAAATTTCCAATTTTTTCTCAGATAATTAATGTTGCCATATTCTGTTGGTACGCAAAGATGAACAAAGAAAAGTAGTTAAATCTACAAGCACTAAATTATTAATTATCTTTAATTAGCAATCTGGCTTGTCTGTGTGAATAACTTTGTTAAGTTATTGCCTTTTGTAACTGTGGGGTAACAATTAGGTAATAAGATCCTTTAAGAACAAACTGAGATAACAGATGTAATTATGATTAGAAAATAACAGCCAGGTGATTTTCTATGGTAGCACCAACAATTTGAAATCAAGAGGAAGTAAACTGAGAGAACATTTCATATACTATTGTTACTATTGTGGTTGTTATTTATTGCCAGGATAACTGTGCTTGAATGTGTGTATGTATCAATGCACTTATTTTTTCTCATTTAATTTCAGCTATGACAGTGATAGCTGGTGCCCGCCGTTACCAGTACAAACATACTTACATCAGGGTATGGAAGATGAATTGGAAGAAGATGATGATCGTGTCCCAACACCTCCTGTCCGAGGAGTGGCTTCTTCTCCTGCCATTTCCTTTGGACAGCAGTCCACTGCAACTCTTACTCCATCTCCACGGGAAGAGATGCAACCCATGCTGCAGGCTCACCTGGATGAGTTGACAAGGGCCTATCAGTTTGATATAGCAAAGCAAACATGGTAAATATTCTTATTAGATTCAGGGACCAAGGCTTTCAAAACATGAATAGAAAAAATGTTCTTTCATGTTAAACTCACAAGAGATTCTCACGGAACTACACAGCTGGGGTTAGAAATGCTTTTGTATAACTCTTTAGTCATCTAGATAAGGAAATTGACTAAACAAATGTTAAATAATTTGACCAAAGTCACATAACTAGTTAGAGTGAACTAAAGCCAGAATTTAGATCTGCTGAATTTCAGGCTCAAGTGCTTTTGACTACATCAGAATCTTTTCTAATTTCTAGTTAAACTTCAATTAGCTTGTCCTTGAACTCACTTCCAGTGGCCTAACAAAATACTCTTTTTAGATTCTTTAAAGTTTCTATAATTAATTCTGCATGTGGTTGTGAATATGTAAATGCAAACTTCTGCAAATCACATGGGGTTAGTGTCAGTTTTTAAAAGACCTTCTTTGGGATGAATTAAATGAGAGAAAAAATAGTACAATATAAATAACAGTAAATGTATTTTAAAAATCCTAGAACAAATTACGAATCTCAAGTTCCCTTTTTCTAATCAATTTATAAACTTTTATAAGGTATAGATAGAAATCTACTTAGAAATCTTGTAAAAATATGACAGGAATATAAGTAGGACCAGTTCTCACAATTTTGTACATTTTTTTTAATTTGTTTTCTCTTTTCTTAAATAGTAATATATAAATCTGACTCTTGAAAATAAAATCTTAATGGCAGACCTTTGATTACTGTCTGCCGATTTGCGCCCTGTGCTTGGTTAGAGTAATTTTTTATGAAATAGTATTTGCTTCTTTTTGATAGTTTTGGCTACTGGGATAAGTTGATAATGAGCTAAGTCTTATCCATCATGTTAATGAACAATTTATATTAAAAATACAGCTAAATACACAAAGAGATACTAAAACCAGAAATAACACTTAAAACTTATTACAAACATGAGTTCTTTTCTTAGAACTAGAGGTTCTTGAACATTTTTCTCAATTATCAGATTGTTTTTAAAAAGTCAGAGACAATCTACTATTAAACAGTATTATTTTGTATCGGCTGCTTTATGTAACACTATTCTTTAAGTTGAAGCCAGCTGCTTTCAGAGCCAGAGATTTCCTTCAAATTAACTAATAAAGCTGTGAGGTTTAGTCATTTAAAGCACAGAGTCTAGCTCAGATTTCTCTAATCTGCCTGCGTTTTGGAATCATGTGGGTGGGCAGCCTTAAAATTTGTTGATAGTAGGCTCTACCCCCAAATATTCTGATGGCTTGGTCTGGTATTTGACTAGGGGCAGCCAAGATTGGGACCACTGCCACCACCACTACTTACTAGTTGTATGACAATGAACAACTTGCTTAACAGCTCTGCTTTAGTCCCCTATTTGTAAAATGATGATGATAATGTAATTAGTGTGCTCTTTTATGGTGAGAGAGAGGTCTCAAACAGCACCCTCAGGTTTAAGAATTCACTTAGAAAGAGCCACATAACTCACAGAGAGCTATTACACTCAAAGTTATGGTTTATTATAGTGAAAAGATACAGATTAAAATTAGCCAAGAGAAAAGCTACATGGGACAGAGTTTAATAAAATTTCAAAGGCAGAACTTCCAGATGTCTTCTCTCAGGGTAGTCATGGAAAGCATTACTTTCCCAACAATGATGTGTGACAATATGCGAGGAGTATTGTCAACCAGGGAAGTTCATGAGCCTTGAGGTTCAAAGTGTTTATTGGGGCTCTGTCACATAGACGTGGTTGAGTACCTGCATGGCTGACCTCGGTCTCCAGCCCCTCCAGAAAGCGAGCTGATATCCTGTGACTCAAAACCCCTACCATAAGTCACATTGTTAGACTTTCTGGAATCTAGGGCCTCCAAGTTAATAAAGAAACTTTTATCAGACCGCACATTTTAGAGTTTAGAGATTACCTTCCAGGAGCACAAAGCAAAGGTCTAAATTATCTTTAGGTAAGGTCAAGTTTATTAATACACATCACTTAGTAAAGTATCTAGCTATATTATAGCTGTGATTATTCTGATGGACTTGGATTTTCACCTGAATTGTTCACTGCTATCTTTCCACTCTTAGAAGAGTGCCCACTGAGGGAGTGCTCCATAGATGCTTGCTAAATGAGTGAACAAACTAGTTCATCTCCACCTGCTCCAAGTACCCAAGCACACCTTGTTTCTTTTTTTCAGTATGTTTGTCTTCAGATCAACAGTCCTTCTGAATGTCATTGTAGACTCCCTGCGTAGGAATTATGAGACACCATGTGATCACACAAGACTTTGCTCTTTTGGAATGGAAGGACCACTCCATCTGGGCTGCACTCAACATCACAGGAGAATTGTTTAAAAAATAATTCCCTAGCTTCAACTCCAGGGATTCTGTTCATATTGACCCATGAATGTCCTGTCACTAGGAGAAATTCATAAATGTAATGTACTCTCTTTCTTTATTTCAGTTTAGCAACTAATTCTGCTGAACTCAAGGAGTACATATTTCACCCCTTGATGCATCTTTGTTCCATCAAGAGGTGTCAGCAGTGATTTAAGACTAGAGTGTAGATCTGCTTGATCCTTCCCAGGACCAAAGTGCTCACTGTTAGAGAAGAATGAGTCATGCATATACATTATTACTTTACATTCTCTTGAATATAACTTGACTCACTCCATCCCTTGCTCACAAATAGAACTTGAGGAAACAGAGCAAGATGTGGTAATCAACAGTCAAGACTTTTTGTAATTGTAGTTAGGAAACTTTCTGGCTTTTCAAAATAGGAGCTGTGATGAATGCTAGATAATAACTTGGGACCTCAAATTCCTGATCTGTTATGCTAAGATGTGGGCCTGATGCTATTGAGGTAGCTTCCGGTCTTTTAAATACTTTGTATCAAGGCAAAAAAAGACAAGATGTCAAAACTTGTGGTATATTCACTCTTTAATGACAATAACAAATAACAATGACTTGTTTTCCTTCAGCATTCTAGTTTAGAAAAAAAACTCTTAAGTAGTCACAAAGTGAACCAACTGGATGGACCCCAGTGTCCAATTCTACATTTTACTAGCCACGTGATTTGAAACAAGTCACTTAAATTGAACTTCGCTTTAATAAATTCTAAAAGACGGGATAATACAAGTTCCATCTACCTCACAAAGTTGAGATTAAAATTATTCATTCATTGCAAAAGTTTTATTTAGCATACCTAATGTTTTAAATGCAGAGTGCTGAGATGAATCTTTCTTTTTTTCAAGTGTTTAAGACTTTGGTGGGTGAGACAGGAGCACAAATAAATAGCTAGAATACAAAGTAGTCATACCTGCCCAGAACTGGGTTAAAGTGGAAACAACTACCAGCCTGATTCATGGGGGATCATGCAGGAAGAAAACCTTGTAGGCAGTGGTCCTCAACTTTTTTGGCACTAGGGACCAGTGCTCAAATGAGAATCTAATGCCTGATGATCTGAGGTGGAGCTGAGATGGTGACACTAGCACTGGGGAGTGGCTGCAAATACAGATGAAGCTTCGCTTCTTCACCTGCTGCTCATCTCCTATTGTGCGGCCCAGTCCCTAACAGGCCAGAGACCTGTACTGGCCCGTGGTCCAGGGTGTTCGGAACTCCTATTGTAGGGCAAGGAATGTGCTCATGGTTGTGGGCAGGGAGGACTGGTATTGGGCCTTCATGAGCCATCTTTTCTTCATAAGGGCCAGCAGGGCACATGGATTACATGGGCTGAGTAGAACTTCAACACTAAATGGGTAACAATTTTTTTTTTCTTTTTGGACAAAAAACAGTCAGCTTTAAACAGTTATTTGTGACAAATATTCCAATTCGCCTTTGGAAGATTTATTTATACAAAAGAAAAAAAAATGCTGAGTCTGTGGAGTTCTTTTTCTGTGTATTGCCCCATAAATACTAATAGAAGAGCGTGATAGTCTATATTATTGTTGCTGTTTTGGTAAGTCATGTATACATAGCCCATTGCCTCTGCTGAAATATGAGAAAGGACTGTGAGCTCCAAAATAAGTTAATGGAAAACAAGAAGACAAAATTAGTTACCATAACATGCAGTTTAAATCTAATTATAATTTTGTGGAATGTTAACAGATTCATTTTTTTTCTCCATTTAAATTCTAGGCACATTCAAAGCAATAATCAACCTCCACAGCCCCCAGTTCCACCATTAGGTTACATGTCCGGAGCCTTGATTTCTGATTTGGAAACAGATGTTGCAGATGCCGATGCCGATGATGAGGAGGAAGCTTTAGAAATCCCTAGGCCCCTGAGAGCACTAGAGCAGACGCCTGGATCCAGTACAGACAATCTAGACAACTCTGTGACAGGTAACAGAACTGATTTAAAGGAATAACTGACCTATTTGTAACTTAAATGCATCAAAAATCAAATACTTTCTTATGTAAGAGCTATTCCACTCCATCTATTTCTGTAACATTTTAAATAGGTTAATATTAAACACAAAATTCAAAAAGGATTTGGAAATACTTTTGCTTTACTGCAAAAATGATAAGAAAATTCATGAATTTTAAAAAGCTTTAGAGACATGAAAGAAAACTCAATTATATACAGGGCTTTCATGAAAAGTTCACTCTACTGGGAAACCAACTCTATTATATAAAAAACCTTGACTTTTAGAAATGATATGTTTTATATAACAGGAGCAACATATAAAGTGAATGCAATCTTAATATGCTTCTTGATATTTCACTCTGTACAATCATTCATTGATGAAAATAAGCAAGTCTTCAGAATAAGTTTCTCTAAAGTTGCAAAAGATATTATTTTTAGTGTGTAGAAAATGTATAGTGACATAAACTACACATTTGTGCATTTTATATTGTTGGGTCCTAGAATTGCTTCTCTCCCAAGAAATATAGTTATTTTTGCTATTTATTCCTTTGGCTTCTTCTTGCCTTGTTCACTAAGAGAGGTTGCAATAAATACTCTCCTAAGATGATCCCAGGACTTCAACCTACTTCTAAGGATTTAAATTTACCAAATTTTGTAGAGAAAACTTAAATCCTAATGTAGACACAATGAATACAAAGAAAACTAAAATTTTAGTCTTTCTATTCAAGTAGGTATCCATTCTTTCACACACACACACACACACACACACACACAATGTTTTGTACACGACTATAAAGACATAACCACTAAAAATATGTGTCTTGCCTTTGCATGTCATTGGGTCTTCTCAGAAAACTACCCATTTCTATATTTACCTTGATTATATCCTTCATCCTAGGAGGCATTTTACCACAGTCCCATTTCATTCATTTTTACACAAATAGCTTCTCAACTTGCACAGATTTTACACTGTGTGTTAGAATTCAACAAACACTGATGAAAACTGCTTTATGACAGTTATAGAGAAGCATAAGTACCTATATTTTCCCTCTGCATCTCTTCTTGAGTTATACACAATGTGTGATGCATGAGCCCGCTTTTTAGTTTTTATTCTTACCTGGGGGATGTCTGCTTGCAAGTTTAGTTAAGATTTAAGAACTGCAGATATACTGCTGTGATTTGAAATCCATATCCAACTAAATGTGGCAGAGCAAAAGTTTAAATCTTTGAATACAGAGAGATAACTTATTAGTGCACTATCATGTTGAGTCCCTTTGCCTGAATTTCTAACATGATCTTCTTCATGGTAAAACTGCATATTTTTGCATCTTTTAATAATGATATTTAACTCTTTTTCATTAGGAATGCAGTAGAGAATTGCAACAATAATACAAAAAAAAAGAGTTAGTTGTAGCCTATGTAGTTATTTTATTAAATACTATAATGTCAAAGATGATAAAGATATCTTTAAATCAGGAGAATGCCATTTTCACTTTTACATGCTCACCTGTTAATAACATGTTAAGCTAGCTAATATGACTGAATTTAAAAACAATTTGGATTTCTCCTTGTAGCTTGTATACTGTTCATTCTAAATTAAGCTTTTATTACTAAGAAAACAGTCTATTTTTCTACTTGAATTCGCTGCTTAATTACTGCCATATGTAAAAACTTCAGGGTGTTTAGGTATGTATTCCATGATGAATTTGTTCTGTGACTATAATACATCTCTTCAGTAAAAGAAGTTACACTCTACCCAAAAGTAGCGAAATAAGAAATTCTTTTCTTTGCTTTCCTTTTTTTTTTCTTGCTCCACAATAACTTTGTGGGAAAAGTATAATCAAAAATTTAATGCTTTCTAGGGTACAAGTGTAATATAAGTTAAAAATAGAAGTAAATATATTTTCTCAAAGGAAAAATAACTGTGTAGAGTGTGCGTGTGTATAGATGTGTGTGTAAGACTATAGATAGGATTTGTGATTATATGTAAATGTGTGTGTGAGTGTATGTAGGTGTATTTGAGTGTAGATAGGGTTGTGAGTATACTAGAGAGTGTGTGCATGTGTATGCACACACATGCATGTATGTGCACGTGGGGATGTCCCTGCGGTGAATGTGTGTAAGGACCAAATGTTATAGAATTCAACACACTAGTGAATACTGTTCTAATGTGTTTATGTTTTCTCCAAACACTTAAGGCTAGTTTAATGATGTTAAATGAGGTAGGGAATAAAACAGATATTATTTCCATTGTTTTTTTTTTTAATGCTTTTAAGATGTTAAGGGCCCACAGAGAGGATTCCGATCTTATAATAAATTACTCTGAGTTTTAAATTTGTGCGTAGTGTGAGTAAATTGGTAATTACTTTAACCTGAATTCTTTGATAGAGAAATTCATTTTCATTAAACTAATGAGCATTTTTATTAAATAGAACTAACATTGATGTTCTATTTTCTGAAACTCTAAAGCCAACCAGAATGATATTCCAATTATAACATAGAGATGGACTAATAAAACCTGTATATAAAATTATTCAGGATATTCCATAAATATACAACAGCTGCCACATTAAAGAATATCAGCAGTTAACAAGGTATAGAGTCCATATTTGTAAAGAAATACGTATATTAATTCTAAATATTTTCCACGACAGCTAAGTACTTTCTGAAGGATTTAAATTTTTGCATAATGATTTCTGAATGAAAAAAGCCAAAAAGAGGAAAATATCAGTTGTTCCATAAATCTCATGAACTCAGTGTCTTAGTCTGGTCGGGCTGCTATAACAGAACACCATAGACTGAGTGGCTTAAACAACAAACATTTATTTCTCACAGTTCTGCAGACTAGGAATTCCAAGGTTAAGGTGCTAGCAGATTGGGCTCCCAGTGAAAACTCTTTCCTGGTTTGCTATCTTCTCTCTGTGTCCTCATATGGCAGTTTAGAGAGAGAGAACAAGCTGTCTGGTCTCTTTTGATAAGGTCACTAGTCTCATCATGGTGCCCTCACACTCGTGACTTCATCAAAAAATTACCTCCAGAGGCCCCTCTCCAAATATCATAACGCATTATGGTATTTGTACAAATGCAACATATAATGTTATCCCTGAAAACATAACACTGGGAGTTAGAGCCTGAATATAAGAATTTTAAGGGAACACCATAAAATTCAGTAATGGAAAATGTATTTGCAGAGCTGTTTTATTATTTATTTATTTCCACAACAAACATTTATTGAATGCCTAATTCTTTCAACCACTTGGCTAGGAATTTAGATTTAATAATGAGAATAATAATTTAAACATATATAAACCTTAGTAAGTAGAAGGCACTGTTTTGTTTTTGTGGTTTAGTGAACTAAGAATATTTCTTACATTTTTAAAGGGTTGTAAGAAAACAAGAAACAAACAAACGAAAAAGAATATATGACAGAGAAGGCAAGGCTTAAAATACATAGTATCTGGTATTTTATCAAAAATATTTGCTGATCCCTGTTCCAAAGTTTTAACATATATTAACTCATTTAATCATCACAGCTCTATTTTTTTTTCTTTTTGTAGACAAGAAATTGAATAACAGAGGAGTTTAAAACCTTTTTCAAGGTTACATACCTGATAACTGGCAGGAGAATGTTCAAAATCAATCGGTCTTACTCTAAAGATAAATTATCATAATCCCTGTTCTGGAAATGCCCAGTTTTTTTCTAATCCCTGGATGTAGCATATTTAAGAAGAAAATGACTTCCTGGTCTATTTTTTAACATGTGGAGACCTCTCTCTCTCTTTCTTTCCATACATGAACTAGCAAGTATGTATTTATACTAATGAAACAGATAATTTTATCCCTGAAAACATTAGTTCTTACCTACTATACACTTAATCAAGATCAAAAATATTAATTTTAGATGTAACTTTGTATTATTTACTTTTCTCATATTTAGTTCTATATTCAATTATAGTGATTCATGCTAACAAAATTCAACTCAATCTGCACTTTTTGTAGAAAATCTCATTTTTATATTTTTTATTTTAATTTATGTTGATAATTAAACCTGTTTGGTTGTGGTAAAGCGTAAAAATGTTTTGATCACAGCATATCGTACTGTTTTTGGCTAGGAAGAAAACATACAGGATTGTTTTAATCTTCAGGAATATGCTTGTAATATTTCTTCCAAAATCCCAAACCCACATTTTTGGGTTACAGGGTGGAGAAGCCTTCAATAATACTTCTTTCTATAACTTCCATGGTGGGAAACCGATGTAAGTGTTTTCTGAATTTAATGACTCCACCACAGGAAAAAAGAAACAAAAAGCAATAGGAGAGAAGGCAGGAGGAAAATGTCCTAAAGCATGGAGTCAAGATTTGAACTGCCTCAGTGATCTCAAAAAGTAAGACTGAAAGTCCTGTAAAGTGAAATGAAAAAAAAAAAAAAAAAAGTTTTTTTGACTCCTGGATCCCACATAAATGCCACGGCTGAAAGGAAATTGTGACTCTATATTTTCTGTATTTTATGTCTCTGGAGGCTTTTCTTGGAACTCCCAAACTGGATCATTTTGAAAATAATAAAACCTGGCAGCCTCACCGTCGTACTCAACCACACAGCTTTTAAAAAGCTAGCCACTGAAAAGTGTGACCTGACATGTATCTTTTGTTGCAAAAACTTATGGAAAAATTTTAATATTAGGGAAATTTCAGAGATATGCTAAAAATAATTGTCATTTTCTTAGACTTCTTCAAAAGTTTTGATGTATCATAAAAGAAATTAAATAAATATAAATTTCCAAATGTGACATATAAAAGGGAAATATCATATATTCAGTTTTTATCTGAGTGGAACAAGTTAACAGGTATCAAATGTCCCAAGGAAGATGCTTTTTAATTGCTTATTTTACTTTCCATATATATTACACATGTCTTTCTCTCTGAGGAACAGAGGTGAAATTGTTGCATATTCAATATGTTTAAATGAAAGAAGGACTTCTAAGGATTAGACAGGGTTCTCTACATCTAGGCAGAGGTCAATATGTGGATTGATTTGTTCACAGACACTTATGACTGAAAATTTCATTTAACTGTTAGACAGATTGTGCTTAATAGGAAGAGTTTTTGGATTAAATGTTGGCTGAAAAAAATGGGGGGCAGCCAGTTTTCGTATCTCATAAAAATGATAATGCAACAATTAGCAGGTTCATATTATAAAGCACAGACTTTACTCTAGCTTAATGGATCTAAGGATAAGCATTTATCAGCAAGGAAGGATTTAGCATAAAACAATATGTAAATGAATTGGTGACTGATCATAAATTAATTTTAGTGCTGAAGATGTAATAGTGACACAGCAAGATGCCACTTTATCATGATATTTTACTGCTTAGTAACATTTGAGCAACAACTTAATGTCCTATATGCTTAACAGCTTGAATAAATTTGAGAATTTTTTTGCCTTTCAGTGGTTTTAAACCTGAGAAATTTGTAAAGATTGAAAATGTAAAGAGAAATAAATTTGGCTATGTGACATAAATTTATTTTTCATTAAATGTTTAAATATGTATTGATTACGCTTGGGGCTATAATATGTCTATTTGGTATGGATTGCTTGTAATTTGTAAATAATCTCTACCTGAGCTGTTTGACCTAGTTTTCATTTTAATTTTTATATTTATATTTACAATTATAAAAGAAAAGCAATTATCACAAAAAATACTTTCTAATTCATGAATCAATGTTCTTTTTTCTTCCAATTGTCTTCTTTGTGTGTGTGTGCTAGTTTATAGAACTCTTCAGATAATTAACATTTAAATATAAAAAAGAAAAAGAATGATAGCCATAGAGAGATAAAATCAGTAAAGATTAAACAAATTTTAACAATTTTACAACATAGAAGAAATTCAATATATGTCATATACTTTTTATTCATAGTATATCACCAATTT